ATTGCTGTTGTCATCCTGCTTACAAAAGACGCACTTTCAAAATCACTTTTACACAGAATAGTTAAATAATGGCAGAAGGGTAAATATTTCCCACTTTTCCAGTATGTGCTTTTGAGTCCCAGTCTCCATTCGTAGAAATGACAGGATGATGAGGATTCAGTAATCAACCCCTCAATTTCTGTATTTGCCAAATTACCATAACCATCTCCCTTCTTGCCATATCCCTCAACACAGATTGGAATCTGTACTTCATTAATAAATAATACACTGAAGGGGAGGGATAAACTCACTTTTCCTACATTCTTTAATAAGTGTGATTGCAAGGACGATAGGATGTGGAAACGTTTTGCTCTTGTTGTTGTGTAACTTCCAAGATGTTTATAATTTACAAACATGGGTACATGGGTTATTTGAAAAAGTAATTTTTTTTAAAAAAAATTACAAAATGCATAAGGTTGTGGGTACCAGGTTAACCTCCTGAAACTCCATCAGTGGTTAAAATGGACAAGTTTGTTCTCTAGATGTATGAACTACAGCTCCCACCATGGTTGGTCAGTCCACTCAAACCCCTTCAGTAGATTCCTTGGTCATGGGGGTTCTGTGTGGCAAGTGGTTCAGACCAGTGATTGGTGGTCATCACAGTGTCTCTGGATGCAAGTGAATGCCAACTTCCAGGGGTAAAAAAACCCAGTTCCCTCCCTTCCCCGCCAAAAAAATAAACCCTCCAGTATGTCCAGTTGGTCATGGTAGTTCTGTGCGCCAAGTTTGATCCACGTCCATCGTTGGTGGGGTTCACAGTTTCTCTGGTTGTAGGTGAACTAAAACTCCCAAAAAATCAAGGTTGATCTCTTCCAAACCCTTCCAGTATTAAAATTATACCAAGTGGACACATACCCATGGTGGATAACGTGACTTTATAGCTGTAAGTGGTATTGTTTATGTTTTAATTGCTTTTAACCTTGTTTAGATTTTTAACTAAATGTTATTTAATTGTTGAATTGTGGTCCAGACCCATCATCATTTCATTTCACAGAGCTCTCTGGATGTAGGTGAACTACAACACCTCCAAATCAAGGTGAATACCCCCCCAAAGCCCCCCAGTATTTTCTGTTGGTCATGCAATCCAAAGTTAGGTCCAGATCCATCGTTGGTGGGGTTCAGATTTGGTGAAAGGAGGGTGGAAGTTTGCCCAAGCCTGGTATAGATGCAACCATAGTCCAATGCTCAAACTTAAACCCTAATTAACTTGACTATCTGATCAGCCAAAAGCAGGCCCACACTTATCTTTGAAATACTGATATGTTTATGTTGGTTGAAATTGTTCATTTTAAAATATTGTATTGTTCCTTCATACACACACACACACACACACATAGATATATATATATATATATATATACACACACATATACATATAATAAGATATGTGTTGTGTGCATAGGAATTCATTCATGTTTTTTCAAATTATAGTCTGGACCCCCAACAGTCTACGGGACCATGAACTGGCCCTCTGCTTAAAAAGTTTGAGGACTGCTGATCTAAAATGTTGATTTCTCCAGGTACACATGATAGCCATGTATAAATATGTGAGAGGAAGTCATAGGGATGAGGGAGCAAGCTTGTTCTGCTGCCCTGGAGACTAGGACGCGGAACAATGGCTTCAAACTACAAGAAAGGAGATTCCATCTGAACTTTAGGAAGAACTTCTTGACTGTGAGAGCTGTTCAGCAGTGGAACTCTCTGCCCCAGAGTGTGGTGGAGGCTTCTTCTTTGGAGGCCTTTAAACAGAGACTGGATGGCCATCTGTCGGGGGTGCTTTGAATGCAATTTTCCTGCTTCTTGGCAGGGGGTTGGTCTGGGTGGCCCATGAGGTCTCTTCCAACTCTATGATTCTATACTATTTAATACTACTCATTTACATAATCAGATAACTAGAGGCAACTGCATAAAACAGATCTTTAGTCCTTTTAGCTCATGCATGGGCAAACTCTCTAGGTGTTTTGGACTTCAACTCCCACAATTCCTAACAGCATCGGCTGTTAGGAACTGTGGGAGTTGAAATCCAAAACACCTGGAGGGCCAAAGTTTGCCCATGCTTGATCTAGCTCAATAATGCCAGCACCACCTGGAAGCAGCTCTCCTGAGTTTGACAGGGATCTTATGCAGCCTTAAAGCTGTGAGGTTTTTACATATGGGTTGTTGTAGAATTTTTTGGGCTATATGGCCATGTTCTAGAGGCATTTTTTTCCTGACATTTCGGCTGCATCTATGGCAAGCCTCCTCAGAGGTAGTGAGGTCTGTTGGAACGAGGGAAAAGGGTTTATATATCTGTGGAATGACCAGGGTGGGACAAAAGACTCTTGTCTGTTGGAGCTAGGTGTGAATGTTTCAACTGATCACCTTGATTAGCATTTGATAGCCTTTACATATGCTTCAGATGCACCTTATATGCAGAGTCTAAAGATAATTTTATACACAACATCAGAGAGCAAAGGTGCCACTATCTCAGCCAGTCATGCTAACAATTTAGATTCTAGATTATTTCACATCTCTGAATTTTGGATAAGGAATGCTAACCTGTGATTATACCCATATACACACACCCAATAGTAACTTTATACACAATATTTTTAATAATTTAGTGCATGCAACAGTATCACAGAGCAAAGGTGTCACTATCTCAGCCACCCATGCAGACACCTTAGAAATTGGAGTATTCTAGAACTGCAGATAATACTCAGCCTGTACTTGTGCGTCAGACTAAAATTTGTGCATCACATTGAAAGTAGGCAGGTGTGTCTTTTTGTTTTTCTCTCAACAATTGGGCAAGGCGCTCCTTTCTAAATTTCTGTCCGATGCATGCATCTATGTATGCGGCAAGGGAACCTTCAAATTATTGCTGTAGTGGAGCTCCCGGTTGCGCAGTGGGTTAAACCCTTGTGCCGGCAGGACTGAAGACCTATGGGCCACAGGTTCAAATCTGGGGAGAGCGCAGATGAGCTCCCTCTGTCAGCTCCAGCTTCCCATATAAGAGAGAAGCTTCCCACAAGCATGGTAAAGCATCCGAGCATCCCCTCAACAATGTCCTTGCAGATGGCTAATTTTCTCACATCAGAAGCGACTTGCTGTTTCTCAAGTCGCTTCTGACACGGAAACAAAAATTGCTGTAGTTTGTTATTATTTGTTGTTGTTGGTTATTAGTTGTTGTTGCCGTTATATAGAATCATAGAATCAAAGAGTTGGAAGAGACCTCATGGGCCATCCAGTCCAACCCCCTGCCAAGAAGCAGGAATATTGCATTCAAATCACCCCTGACAGATGGCCATCCAGCCTCTGTTTAAAAGCCTCCAAAGAACACCACACTCCGGGGCAGAGAGTTCCACTGCTGAACGGCTCTCACTGTTATCAGCTATCTGAAGACACAGCTGAATACACATCTCTTCTCGCAGGCCTACCTAGTTAATTTTAAGTTGTGAATTTTAATTCACATTTTATTAGTGGATTTTAACATGCAATTTAAGTCTACATCTTGTATGTCTTTTAATAGTATATTCATCTCTTGTTTTAATGATGTTGTATCTCAGGCATGGGCAAACTTCAGCCCTCCAGGTGTTTTGGACTTCAACTCCCAAAATTCCTAACAGCCGGTAGGAAGTTGAAGTCCAAAACACCTGGAGGGCTGAAGTTTGCCCATGCCTGCTTTAGCATATAATGTCTTGAAGGTTAATTTCAGGAAGTGTATCCTTCAGCACACTATGCCTACCAAAATTCCTCCTTCCAGACCACGACCAAATGATGCAAAAGTCCTATTCCCTCCTGCATCCTCATCAGCATAAGAGAATGGTCTCCGGGTGGGCCACAACACTGAATGAATATTTCATTTTGGTCAATGACCAGCATTGAAACAAACAGTAAAAGGAAAGCAAAACATAAATTTAGGCATTGAAATACAATTTTTCAAAGCAGAGTTAGCTTTCCAAAGACTATTACAGCATCTTGAAAGGTTTTATACCTATTATCTGTCGGATGTCATCTGAAAGTGCAGCCAAAATTGCAGCAGCAACAGTGCAAATCAGATATTCAAGATTTTTATATGGCAGTGTGGACTCATATAATCCAGTTCAAAGCAGATAATGTGGGTTATCTGCTTTGATAATCCGGATTATATGGCAATATAGACTCACATAATCCAGTTGAAATAATATATGGTTTACCTATTTTGATAATCTAGATTACGCGGCGGTGTAGACTCACACAATCCAGTTGAAAGCAGATAATGTGGGTTATCTGCTTTGATAATCCAGATTACATGGCAGTGTGGACTCAAATAATCCAGTTCAAAGGAGATAATGTCAGTTAGCTACGTTGATAATCTGGATTAAATGGCAATGTAGACTCACATAATCAAATTCAAAGCAGATAACATGGGTTATATGTTTTGATAATCTGTATTATATGGCAGTGTGGAGTCACATAATCCAGTTCAAATGACATAATTGCTTTACCTGTTTTGATAATCCGGATTATATAGCAGTGTAGACTCAAATAATCCAGTTCAAAGGAGATGTCAGTTAGCTACGTTGGTAATTTGGATTAAATGGCAACGTAGGCTCATATAATTCAGTTCAAAGCAGATATGAGTTATCTGCTTTGATAATCCGGATTATATGGCAGTGTAGACTCAAATAATCCAGTTCAAAGGAGATGTCGGTTAGCTGCGTTGATAATCTGGATTGAATGGCAATGTAGGCTCATATAATTCAGTTCAAAGCAGATGTGGGTTAGCTGCCTTGATAATCCGGATTATATAGCAGTGTAGATTCACATAATCCAGTTGAATGCAGATAATGCGGGTTATCTGCAGTGTAGACAGAATTAAACACGCAACGATGAAGACAAAGCCTCACTGAAGGCGTGCCTCCCCCCCCCCCCCCCCAATTGGGACCCACCTGGGATCTCAGTCCCCACTCACTCACTCACTCACTCACTCACTCACTCACCCTCCGACTGGTGGGGCACCATCCCGATGGTCCCTCCCGTGTTGATGACCAGCACCCGCACCTCCGCCAAGCAGGCGCAGCCGCCCCCGACCGCGACCACGGCAGGAGGGGCTCTGCACCCCAAAGCTCGGCTCAGGAGGCTGCAACCTCCCTTGGCATGGCTTGCTTCCCCCATGGCCAGACCTCCCTCCTTCCTCCCAACTCTGGAGAAGATGCTCTGCGGGAGGAGAGGACGCGGGCATTATGAGAGCCGAACTCAGCCACGCCCCTTTCCGGACCGGACCGCTCTCATTGGCTGGCCTCTTGCCCCGCCCCCTTGTGCAGGGAAGAGGACTCAGAAAGATGACCCTGGTGAAGTTTGCTGGACACAACCCCAGGGTCCAAACTACTACTCCACACTCAATCTTCTATCTATATAAATACAAATGTAATGTTCGTTTGTGGGATTAGCATAAGTCAAAAACCACTGGACGAATTGACACCAAATTTGGACACAAGACACCTATCAGGCCAACAAGTGTCCATCTCTCATAAACAAACACACACATACACAAAACCCCAGCGGAAAAGACTTAAAAACCCGAAAAATACACCATATATCCATATACACATTTGCACATATACATATACACATGGCACCACATTCATACACACACACACACAAGTATATATATGCACAAATATACATATATAAATACACATTTATGTGTATACACAAATGTCCACATACACATATACATATACACATGCAAACACATATACACATGCACACCTATACATATATACATACATACACACAAATATGCATATAGACAAGCACACACATATACACAATATACATACACACATATAAACACACATATAAACACACAAATATATACCCATACACACACATATACGGTATATATGCAAACACACATATACACACACACACGTATATATATACACAAGCACACACAAATATACATACATTTATATGCATACACAAATGCCATATACATATACACATGCAAACACATATACACATGCACACACCTATACATATACATGCACAAATATATACACACAAATATGCATATAGACAAGCACACACATATACACAATATACATACACACATATAAACACACAAATATATACCCATACACACACACATATATACACCCACATATACAGGATATATGCAAACACACATATATATACACACACACATATATATATATGCACAAACGCACACAAATATACATATATACATACATATTTATATGTATACACAAAATGCCCACATACATACACATATACATATATACATGCAAACACCTATACATATATACATACATGCACATATATACACACACAAATATGCATATAGACAAGCACACACATATACACAATATACATACACACATATAAACACACAAATATATATCCATCCACACACACATATACACCCACATATACAATATATATGCAAACACATATATATACAAATATATACACACACAGAAATGCATACATACACAAAACACATATACACAGACTGGGCCACAGCAATGCGTGGCAGGGGACGGCTAGTTTATTATATATATATATATATATATATATATATATATTCTCAGTCAAGTTCTAATGAAGGAGGAAAAGCCAAGGCTCCCCCACCCAATTAAACATTAAAACGGGCGCTGATGCAATTCATGGGCAACTTGCCCACAATAGTGTCCTTTCATCCAGCGAGGAATGTTCCCAAAACAAAACACAAGAGGCCTTGAGGTAGTGGTTGGGAATAAATTAGAATCAGAAAGGCATTAAAAAGATGTTATCTAGGAGCTGAAAGGGGGGAAAGGCCAAAACAAGAGTGCTCTGCCACATCAAGATACACTTAAACATGGAAATATGTTTTAATATGCATATTTTAAAGACTGTTTTTAGGTAAATATGTGTTTTACAATGTTGTAACCCGCCAGCCCAATGTTGTAATCCTGCAAGTCTCTTGGGAAGACAGGCAGACAAACGTCAGCATGCTGGAAGAAACAAAGACTACCAGCATTGAAGTAGTGGTACTCCACCATCAACTTCGCTGAACCGGCCATGTTGTCCGAATACCCGAACACCATCTCCCAAAGCGGTTTGCTTTACTCCGAACTCAAGAACGGGAAACAGGAAAATAGATTTAAAGATGAGCTCAAAAACAACCTTAAAAACTCTGGCATAAACACCGAGAACTAGGAAGCCCTGGCCCTTGAGCGCTCCAGCTGGAGGTCAGCTGTGACCAGCAGTGCTATAGAATTTGAAGAGGCACAAATGGATGGCAAAAGAGAGAAACGTGCCAAGAGGAAGGGGCATCAAGCCAACCCCAGCTGGGACTGCCTTCCACCTGGAAATCAATGCCTTCACTGCGGGAGAACATGCAAGTCAAAAATAGGGCTCCACAGCCACCTACGTATCCATCGCCAAAACACATCACTTGGAGGAACATCATCCTCGGGCTATGAAGGATTGCCTAAGTAAGTTAGTAACCCACCTCGAGCCATGAAGAGAGGCAGCCAAGAAATTATTATTATTATTATTATTATTATTATTATTATTATTATTGCCTGTGACAAAAAAACTGGTGGGATCACAAACCTGAAAAGGTTATAGAAAATGAGCACATCAAACTACTCTGGGACTTCCGAATTCAGATTGGCAGAGATTTGGAGCACAATATTCCTGACCTCACAATTGTGGGGCAAAAACAAAATATGGATCGTCAATGTTGCAATGACAGCAGAATTGATGAGAAGCAACTAGAAAAGCTTGCATGATATGAGGATTTAAAGACTGAACTGCAAAGACTCTAGCACAAGCCAGTCAAGGTAGTCCCAGTGGTGATCGGCACACTGGGTGCAGTGTCTGAAGACCTTGGCCTACACTTAAAAACAATCAGCGCTGACAAAATTACCATCTGCCACCTGCAAAAGGCCACCCTACTAGGATCTGCACATATTATTCGCCGATACATCAGTCCTAGATACTTGGGAGTGTCCGACGTGTGACCAAATATAAAAGTCAGCATAGTGATTTTGTTTGCTGTGTACTAATCTTGCTGTGTATCAAATAATATAATAATACGAATAATCTATAGGACACAAGGAAAGGGACTGGGAGGTAAAAGGGAATGGTGTGATGATGATGATGATGATGATGATGATGATGATGATGAATGATTCAGCTGCTAAAATGCAACCAAGATTCAATGATGCACTTCAGTTCAGGCACTCATTATGACAAGTCACACCTCCAAGGAGAATCCAGCAAGGTAGACAAGTCATGCTACCCCTCTATTCTGCCTTGGTTAGACCACACCTGGAATATTGTATCCAATTCTGGGCACCACAATTGAAAAGAGATATTGACAAGCTGGAAAGTGTCCAGAGGAGGGCAACTAAAATGATCAAAGGTTTGGAGAACAAGCCCTATGAAGAGCGGCTTAAAGAGCTGGGCATGTTTAGTCTGAAGATGAGAAGGCTGAGAGGAGACATGATAGCCATGTATGTATGTGAAAGGAAGTCACAGGGAGGGGGGAGCAAGCTTGTTTTCTGCTGCCCTGGAGACTAGGACACGGAACAACAGCTTCAAACTACAAGAGAGGAGATTCCATCTGAACATTAGGAAGAACTTCCTGACTGTGAGAGCTGTTCAGCACTGGAACTCTCTGCCTCGGAGTGTGGTGGAGGCTCCTTTTTTTGGAAGCTTTTAAACAAAAGCTGGATGGCCATCTGTCAGGGGTGCTTTGAATGCAATATTCCTGCTTCTTGGCAGGAGGTTGGACTGGATGGCCCATGAGGTCTCTTCCAACTCTTGATTCTATGATTCTACTCTGTTGATTTCCATTAAAAAATCAGCTTTTTCATCTCCATTAGGGGGTGCTGTTTGCTCATATTTAGACATGAAGATAAATTAGACTTCGGCTCAAGATGAAGCCAAACATTCACACACAAAAAGATTCTAGTAAAGAAATAGAATAGAATCATACAGTCATAAAATAATGGAGTGCCAAAGCTGTACAAAACTTTTTAAACAAGAATTGAACACAGTGTTTGCTCATGCAAATGCACAACTAGCTCCCCATTGCCCTATAAAAGATTAGATGAACTACTGTTTAGTTTTAGTCGCAGGCTGGAAGAACTAGCTCAAACCACTGAGTGCTGGAATCAAATACGTCAGGAAATGTGGGGAATAAGTTAAAAGGTTTGGTCATTAAAGGCATAGGGATTAATGCCCTTAACAAAACAAAAACAAAGAAAAGAAATGTGGGTGCAATGTAATTATGATTTTTAACTATTGAAGCAACAGGACAATCAGTAGAGCAGTGTTTCTCTACCTTCCTAATGCTGCGACCCCTTAATACAGTTCCTCATGTTGTGGTGACCCCCAACCATAACACTGTTCTCATTGCTACTTCGTAACTAATTTTGCTACTGTTGTGAATCATAATGTAAGTATCTGATATACAGGATGTATTTTCATTCACTGGATCAAATTTGGCACAAATACCCAATACTTCCATATTTGAATACTGGTGGTTTGGGGGGAGGGGGGTTGATTTTGCCATTTGGGAGTTGTAGTTGCTGGAATTTATAGTTCATAGAATCATAGAGTTGGAAGTGTGGTGGAGGCTCCTTCTTTGGATGCTTTTAAACTGGCTGGATGGCCATCTGTCAGGGGGTGCTTTGACTGCCATCCAATCCAACCACCGCCAAAAAGCAGGAAAATTGCTGTCATCCAGCCTCTGTTTATATCATTGAATGTTTGCCATGTATATGAACATTGTAATCTGCCCTGAGTCCCCTGCGGGGTGAGAAGGGCAGAATATAAATACTGTAAATAAAAAAAATATGTTAATCTAATGTTAATGAACATTAGATTTTTATTTATATGGGTAATTAAAGCATCTTCTGCAGAGTCCACTGAAAACACTGCTCAACAGATTTGTATAAATGTCTAAAACATTCAGAAAACTTTCATTGTTGTCAATTTTTTCAGGACCCCATTTGGGGTCGGGGCCCACAGTTTAAAAAACAGTGGTCTACATGGATTCAATAGTCTGAACTCACCTCTTCTTCATTGCATCAAAGGATGTCCAGTTCTTATTATGAGGTAAACTGGGTTTGCCCAGTTTACCCCAAAGTTAAGGAAAGTTATGGGATGCTCCAGAGTTTGGCCAAAATCATAGAATAGAATCATAGAATCATAGAGTTGGAAGAGACCTCATGGGACATCCAGTCAAACCCACTGCCAAGAAGCAGGAATATTACATTCAAATCACCCCTGACAGATGGCCATCCAGCCTCTGTTTAAAAGCTTCCAAAGAAGGAGGCTCTACCACACTTTGGGGTAGAGAGTTCCACTGCTGAACAGCTCTCACAGTCAGGAAGTTCTTCCTAATGTTCAGATGGAATCTCCTCCCTTGTAGTTTGAAGCTATGTCCGTGTCCTAGTTTTCAGGGCAGCAGAAAACAAGTTTGCTCTCTTCTCCCTATGACTTGCTCTCACATATTTCTACATGGTTATCATATCTCCTCTCAGCCTTCCCTTCTTCAGGCTCAACATGTCCAGCTCTTTAAACCTCTCCTCATAGGGTTTGTTCTCCAGACTCTTGATCATTTTAGTCGCCCTCCTCCGCTTGTCAATATCTCTCTTCAATTGTGGTGCCCAGAATTGGACACAATATTCCAGGTGTGGTCTAACCAAGGCAGCATAGAAGGGGAGCATGACTTCCCTGGATCTAGACACTCTACTCCTATTGATTCAGGCCAAAATCCCATTGGCTTTTTTTGGGAAGCAACATCGCAGTTCTGGCAGACTGGACAGCATAACCCTGTCCAATGAGAACCAATCCACTCTCCACACAGGCCACACTATTATTCCTTTTTCCCTGCACAATACCCTTGTTGTCTGCCACTTTTCCTGATGTCAGCACAAGCACCTGTGACAGCTGGGAGTTCTCATGGAGCTCTGTGGCATCCAGCAGCAGGAGCAGCAGGAGCAACAACATAAGGTATTGGCCCTATTGGACCACCTCCACTTCACCCTGCTGCTGTTGCAGGTTGTGGACGGAGTGTGCAGCTATCTTTGGGGCTGGTTCAGAGCATTACTGTTCCAAACCAACCACAGATTAAATGTCCAATATAGAGATCTCAATCTCTAATGTGCTACTTGATCCCTTTGCAGCTTCTGTTTTTATTACTATTAGGAAAGATAGAAGTATAACACTCTGAATACTTTTTTGCCCTCTCCTGCATTTTCACTGCTTCTGCCAAGTGTGGAAAATATGCAAACTAGTTATGAGCACAGTAGCTATGCTGAGAAGTGGGTGTGCTCTGCTTATGTGCCTTTTGTTTTGATTTAGTTTCCAGTAACAGCCACAGGATTGCAAAAACTGGGGAAAAACTTTTAAGGGTGTTTTGTAATCTTGTACATTTCATCAATGATGTCAGTTTTTTTGAGCAGCTGGTTCTTCTGAGACAAAACTGGCATTTATTTTAAAAGTAGTTTTTAGATTTGTAGCATGGTTTTTCAAGTATTAAAAAAGACACTTCTGTCCAGGTATAATTCCTCTTCATCCTGGAAAGAAGTGACGAACAGAGTGCTACAGGGTTTCGTCCTGGGTCCGGTTCTGTACAACATCTTTATTAATGACTTAGATGAAGGATTAGAAGGCATGATCATCAAGTCTGCAGATGACACCAAATTGGGAAGGATAGCTAATACTCCAGAAGGCAAGAGCGAAATTCGAAACGATCTTAACAGATTAGAGAGATGGGCCAAAACTAACAAAATGAAGTTTAATGGGGACAAATGCAAGATACTCCACTTAGGCAGAAAAAATTAAATGCAACAATACAGAATGGGGGGATGTCTGGCTCGGCAGCAGTACATATGAAGAAGATCTTAGAGTCCTCGTGGACAACAAGTTAAACAATGTGATGTGGTGGCAAAAAAATCCAATGTGATTTTGGCCTGCATAAACAGGAGTCTAGTATCTAGATGCAGGGAAGCCCTCTATTCTGCCTTGGTCAGACCACACCTGGAATCACACTGTGTCCAATTGTGGGCATCGCAATTGAAGAAAGATGTGGACAAGCTTCTCGTTGGTGGCCCCACGCCTGTGGAATTCACAGATTATTGACGTCCCTCATTTCCTTTAGAAAGAAGTTAAAAACATGGATGTGGGACCAGGCCTTCGGATAATCTTGCTGACAATGACAGTGACAATGATGACAATCGCTATGGATATGGACAATGGACAAGCTTGATGGCGTCTCTAACTACAGAATTCAGCTCAGATAAGGCCACCAGGCTATTACTGAAACAGAAACAGATTTTAATTAATTAATGTGATTTAATGTTTTAAATGTATGTAATTATTGGATTTTATTATGTATTTTATTATGTGTACATTGGAGGCATCGAATTGTTGCCGGCTGGAAGCCGCCCTGAGCCCCCCCCCCCCCCCGGGGGTTGAGAAGGGCAGGGTACAAATATCTGCAAGTGAATAAAAATACCATGATTCAATGACAGTATTATAAACTAGCCATCCCCTGCCACGCATTGCTGTGGCCCAGTCTGTGTATATGTGTTTTGTGTGTGCATGTATGTGTATATGTGTATATATGTGGTTTTGTGCATGTATTATAATGTATTTTTATTTTTTGGCTTTTTAAGTCTCTTCCACTGTTTTTCAGTGTTTTTATGAGTGATGGTCACTTGTTGGCCTGATAGGTGTATTGTGTCCAAATTTGGTGTCAATTCGTCCAGTGGTTTTTGAGTTATGTTAATCCCACAAACGAACATTACGTTTTTATTTATATAGATAATCACATTTCATTGCACAATTACACTTCTTCCACTTTATCTTTCAGGCTAAGATATGACATGTTATTATATCATTGAGAAGTGTAATTTTTCCCACATTTGTACAAGTTTTAAATGATGTTAATTCCTTCAGCTGCTAAGTTGCTCAAAATGTATGTATTCTTAGTCTGAAAATAATATTTCTTATTACTTCAAAGTTAATTTGTCCTACATTTTTAGACTTGATTTGATGTATACATTGCCTCAGGATTCTGTGATATAGGACAAGACAAAATGGTACAAATTTTGGGGGCCTCAAATAGAAAACAACACTCCCAATTTCGAGAGGGTCTCAAAATAGATTGGAGCTCCCAGCAAAAGCCAGGACACAAAATGGGGCAAGGTTTACCCCCAAAGCGCAAGCCGAGTATCTGTCAGTCTGTCTAGGTCTGTTCCTCTAGGTTTTTTTCTAGTTTCGATATCCATTAGAAAGATCACACATTCAATCGCCTTTTTATTAGAAATTTCTTCAGAACAGTCGTTTTGAAGATTCTACAAGGAGAAATCGGAGAGAGAATGGTTAATTGTAACTCCTACAACAAATCATACAAATTCGTCATGTACAAATGCAATTGGTACTTATCTAATGAGGACTGCAGAGGTAAAAGCAAATTTACCAGGTATCTAGTAGGCCCATAACAGACATATGTATTGTGTTGTAACAAAAGTGAAATCAGCTCCTTCTCAAATATACCGGTTCATATAATGATGTTACATATTTCTGTTCGATAACTTGAGAGAGGGAATAGCTAGGACAAATATTTAAATAGAAACTATAACTTAATTTTTTTACAAAGTTTCTTATTAGCATATACACATTTTATACAAAAGTTATAAAAGATAAACGTGTAACACCATTATATATGAACCAGTATATGGGTTCTAACAGGTATAACATACAAAAACAAGAAGAGAAGGGAAATTAGCATTTGAGAAATAAAAAGTGACAAGAGAATCCCAAAGCAGGGAATTTGGAGGAACTTCATCCTAGAAGGCTACCGTGCTGGAGGAAGGTGGGATAAAAATACAAACAATTGAAATAAAATTATTCAAAGGAGGAAAAGTAAAGAAATAGAACGGTAAAGGTTACCCTGACCTTAAGTCTAGTCGTGTCAACCCTGGGGGTGGTGCTCATCTCCACTTCTAAGCCAAAGAGCCGGCATTGTCCATAGACACTTCCAAGGTCATGTGGCCAACATGACTGCATGGAGGACTATTACCTTCCCATCAAAGTGATACCTATTGATCTACTCACATTTGCATGTTTTCAAACAGCTAGGTTGGCAGAAGCTGGGCCTAACAGCAGGAGCTCACCCGCTCCCTGGATCCAAACCGCCAACCTTTTGGTCAGCAAGTTCAGCAGCTCAGCACTTTAACCCACTGTGCCACGGAAGGCTCCCTAATAGAACATACCTTGGGGAAAATTAGCTGCCTGCATTAAAAAAAATACATTAACCTGTCTAATGGGTGGAAACATTTCCAAATTGGACTAGTTTTACCATCAAGGCTTTGCCAATTTACAAGTAACATCAGAGTTTGTGAGCCCGAGTAGCGCCTTGGGAAACAGATAGACATTTCTACATTTCCAGACTTCCATAGGAGTAGCTCCTTGTTATCAGAGGGCAAAACATATGAGTGATTATTCTGGCTCCTTTGCAGCTACCCAAAACATGCCTGTTCCTGGCAGCCTTCCATGTCTGTGGTTGTGTTGCGGTTTTTGCAACAAGACAGATTCTTGCATCAAGGTAACTTCAATTTATGTGTCCAAATTCCTCTAAAACTTTAGTGAATGAAATATTACCGAATCTGCTTTGAAAGGGCCAATCATTTTTTTTCTATTTGTTTACAGTATCTGGAAGCCCTCAATAACAAAGGTTCTTCTCAGCAGACTTGTTTCTGCTCCTAATCAAATGTATTTCTATATAGGTGAAAGAATACAGTCAGCCCTCCATATCAGAGCACATGACACAATGGCACCAGCCCACAGACCACCATGATGAGTAGCACTGAATTAAACCAACCAACTTTGGCCTCATCCAGCTCTAACTCTCTGACTGAAGTCTTGACATCAGTACAATTACAGCAACCACCCATGCAAAACATATACTGGAAAAATTAAGGGTTTTGAACACCTACCTCCTTTTGATTTCAGCTGAGTCAGCAAGTCCAAGATTCGATGGTTGTTTGTCATAGTTGCCTACAAATACATCAAAACCTGATAAATTTCTAAAATTCGGGAAAATGTCAAGGTTATTAAAGGAAGGGCAAACCCTGTTCTGCCGGCAACTCACAAAGCTGGGCACAGTTGAATTGGTCTGCATGGAGCTTGGCAATCTCCCATCAGTTTAGTGGGACAGAGCTCCATCCAGGCATGGTTTTGGTAGATTGCTTTTTTATTACAACACTAGTTTGCGTATCTGGCATTGCCCATGTTATTTGAAAAAGTTAAGTCCAGGACCATCGTTGGTGGGGTACAGAGTACCCTTTGATTGAAAGTGAACTATAAATCCCAGTACCTAAAATGGCTATAAATCAAGGTGAATTCCCCCCAAACCTCTACAGTATTTTACTTAGGTCATGGGGGTTCTGTGTGCCAAATGTGGTCCAGGTCCATTGTCAGTGGGGGTCACAGTGCTCTGGCTTGATGCAGGGTGAACTACAACTTCCATGTTGTGGAGTCAATTCCCCCAAACTCCTCCAGTATGTTTACTTGCTGATTAGTTCTGCTCTGTTTGTTGTGCAGACAGAGTTGAAAAGTGTCAGGTATTATAATGTATTGTAATGTAATATAACTGAGTCATGCACTGCTAATAGGCTTCTATTGGAGATGCTGAGTCATGCATTGACTGTATATGGAACTTCATTTGGGGAATGTGTTCTGGCCTAGTCCAGGTGATTGTGAATGATGTAATCCTGGGTCTGAGTTAAGTTAATGAGTTGGGAACCAATCAGAGATTCCTTATATACAATGGTATAGAATTGTATATAAGGAAGTCATGTAGAGTGTATACTCTCTCCTTGTGCTGTGATGCTGTTCATCGAAGGCTCTATGTAATTGATTAAAAGAACCTGTCTGCTAAGACAAGATATAACTGTGTGCTGTGGTAAGTTTGTAATGTCATCTAGATTGGGGGAAAGACAATGGTAAAACTGACAATGGCCGGGCATGTGCTCAAGTATCTGTAAAAGAGTTCCAGAGTGACTGCAGTTTGTAGGAGCAGTTGACTGAAAATACTGTGCAGGAAGAAGCTACTGGAAAGCGCTGAAGTTGTGCAACTGATCTGCTGCTGAACTGTGAAATTAATCTCAACAAAAAGAATAGGAAAGGGTGAAGGGAGAAGCAGTGGGCGGGATCATGCAAATTCCACACCAATTGAGAGAGTAAGAAAAACTGGGATGTCTGTGGTAGAGAAAACATGTAAAATCTAGGATGAAATTGCCCCCAAATGAAAGCATTCCTTGTGTGGTGGGCAGAATAGTGTTTGGGGAGGACATTGGCAGGGGTTGGGCCACATGTTCATGCCGCTTGCTATAACCTAAAATGTCACTGGAGGGAGGGCTTTTGGTGGCTCCTCAGCACTGTGTTTGTGGAAGTGGAAGCCTGTCTGTGGAAGTGGGCACCCCAGCCACATACACATATACATATTTTCATTTTCACTTTTATTAGGTATATATTAGGTATAGATATATAGAAGATAGGTATTATACACCAAAAGAGGGCTGAGTGAAAATGGGGGACAACTCTCCACATTTGTGGGTTGACTGCTGGAAATGGGCCACCAAGTTCTGCTGAAGGAACTAGAGGTTCTTAAATTGGTGTTCTTTCAGGCAAAAACAAAGTTAGTGGCTGGGAGGGCCTTTGCACAATTCAAACTTGTGCACCAGCTGCGACCATAGCTTGTGAAGTCTGGACTATTGCAATGCGCTCTATGTGGGGCTGCCCTTGAAGACGGCCCTGAAGTTTGAACTGGTACAACAGGCTCCTTACTGGAGCAAACTATAGGAAGCACCCCTATTAAAACAGCTTCATTGGCTGCCAATAAGCTGCCGAGCCAAATTCAAGGTGCAGGTCATGACCTATAAAGCCCTAAACGGTTCGGGTCCCACCTATCTCCGCGATTGCATCTCCTTCTATGAACCAGCACGAGCTCTAAGATCTTCCGGGGAGGCCCTCCTCTCGGTCCCACTACTGTCTCAAGCGCAGTTGGTGGGGACGAGAGAGAGGGCCTTCTCGGTGGTGGCCCCCCGCCTATGGAACGCCTTTCCAAGGGAAATAAGGCAGGTCCCATCCCTCCCCTCTTTTCGTAAGAGCTTGAAGACCTGGTAGTTTCAACAAGCCTTTGAAAATGACCAGTTCTAATTCAGTCTTACACGTTGTCGAATACGGCCTTATTCTTCCTACCAATTACCCAGATCACTTCCTCTAATCGGCCCTGGAATCAACAGCCAAAGACCCGTACCTAATATTATTGTTGCCTGCCATAGAATTGCACTTAATTCCCGGGCCCCCTAGAATTTTTGGGCTTGCAGAAATCTTCGCCCGGCCTTTAAATTTTTTAAATTGCTTTGAACAGGCAGGATTACTTTTAATATGTGTGAGTTATGGTGACAATTTTATGCTTATATTTTGTTTTGTTAATCTTGTGGTTATTTTGTTTTTACTTCGTATGTTTGGGAACCGCTCTGAGTCCCCTCGGGGAGATGGAGCGGTATATAAATAAAGTATTATTATTATTATTATTATTATAGTGGCATTTTTTAATTTGTGGGTTTTCCATGTTCATGGATCTTTCACACCTAACTCACATGAAAATGGTGGATCTACTGTACACATAAACTTAGAACAGTGACTTCTAAGTATACTTACTACTTGGAAAGGTGTTCTGCCAGCATAATCCATGCATTCCATATCTACACCTGCAAGATGCCAAGCCATCACTCCATCCACATCTCCCTTAGCAGCGAGACTGAGAATGAGGAATATATATGCATGCGTTAAAAAAAAAAACAAGCATCTTTTTGTGATTTCACATTCCCTATGGGCATATCTTTTTATGCATAGTGAACCTTGCAAAACAATCCTCGATTAAGTCAATAGAAAAGAAAGCAGAAGGCCAGCAGTTCTCAGCTAGGATGGCAACTACAGTGCTGGTAGATGCACTAAGATATATTTAAATCATGAACATGCATTGCAAAACTGTTTTCCACATAATGGAGTTTTGTGAAATCCCATGCAACTCTAGGATTTAGTTAATCACTAGAATGCTCCCCGTTGCTCAGAAGAACAGTATAAGCAACTGTTTGAGCATAAGAGGAAAAACTGTGATATAGTAACACAGAGTACCAAATTACAAACCCCAATAATAATAATAATAATAATAATAATAATAATAATAATACTCTGGCACAAGCCAGTAAAAGTGGGCCTAGTGGTGATCGGCACACTGGGTGCAGTGCCTAAAAACCTTGGCCTGCACTTAAACACAATCGGCGCTGACAAAATTACCATCTGCCAGCTGCAGAAGGCCACCTTACTGGGATCTGCACGCATTATTCGCTGATACATCACACAGTCCTAGACACTTGGGAAGTGTCTGACATGTGATCCAATACAACAGCCAGCAGAGTGATCTTGTTTGCTGTGGACTCATTTTGCTGCGTTTCAAATAATAATAATAATAATTATTATTATTATTATTATTATTATTATTATTATTATTATTATTTGTATTCCACCCTATCTCCTCAAGATGATATAAGATGTACACAGGGCACTAAAAGTTGCATCAAGTGAACTGAGCACATCAGATTCTTGCTCATCTCCAAAGTCTATGGGAAATTCATGCAAACAACCTCTTTTCAGACACTCTTGCATCACAGACTTCCCCAAGAAATGTAGACTTATCTTGTTTCAATTACTCACATAGACTTCAAATTAGCATATTCCTTAGTAAGCAGAAAAAGATAAGACACTTTCCAAATCAGTTTACCATAGATGACAGTTCCCAACCTGTCATCTATGGACCACCAGTGGTCCACAAGAATGAAAATATGGTCTGTGGTCTCACCATTACTACACCATTGCCTCGAAACCACGCAGCAACGAGAGCGACTGGTCTTGTGAAACCCTCTTATAGTGCCAAGGTAACAGGGATGTTGGGAGGTGAGAGGCTGACTACACACAAAAGATTACTACTACCACATCAGATCTAGATTATTAAATATGGTTTTCTATGGGAAAGAAGATGGCAACTACTGTATGGCATATGTTTTGTATCAGACACTATTGCTGATGCAATCCAATGCAATTTTCTGAATCAGCACCCCAAATAACCAGCCAAATCTAAAGTTGACCAAAAACTGATTCAAAACCCTTTTGGCACTAATGTTGGAGAATGGTCCCTGGTCAAGAGGTCCCTGTCACTATATAACTACAATTCCACTAACTTCCATAACAGTGCCACTTGGGAGAAAAGCAGTATATACATTAAAATAAATAAGCAAGAGTAGGAACTCTAGAGTTAAACATGCCCAACCAGTTCAATCCATTCTAATATCCCATTTTTCACAACCACAGATTGAGAAGTTTGAAGGTATTTAACAATCACAGACAAGAATTGAAGGAACTGATAATCATTGAGTATTTTGGTTGCAAAATGATGATAGGTTGGTTATGCTATTACATAAGCACAGGCACCCTGTGGTGTAAAGCCCATGCTATTACTTGGATGCATATTTAGCTTAAATACATCACTGAATATCAGTTGCTGAGAAGGAACAAGTGGAAAGGAGAACTGCTTAGAGCCCTTTCTATTGAGCCTCTCATAGGCAACTGGTTGGCTATTCCAGACATGCCTTATATCCCAGGATTTGATCTCAGGTTTTCTTCTTTAAACTGGATTATATGAGTCAACACTGCCAGATAGTCCGGGATAAACAGAAAACCTGGGATCAGAACCTGTGATATAGGGCCCGTCAGGAAGGACCATGAGAAGCAATATGCTGGGTTAAGAGACATTTGGTCTACCAAAGATGCTGTTCTGGTTTTCTGAGGTTTAATTTGGATTTTCTTACAGGCAGAGTTTGGTCCCAGCATTCTCCAGCTCTTCATTGGAAAGGTGAGCTCCTGTTTCACGAAGCAGCTGTATGATTTCAAAGTGCCTTCATGGAACAAAAGGGGGAAAAATAACAGAAAACCTCATTATCATTATCACCAGCAACAAGAACAACTTCTTGAACCCAAAGTTCAAGATTTCTTCTTTAAAAGTCTTCTAATACAGAACCCTCCAATGACCTTTTAGAGAGAGGGAGGAACCACAATGGTTAGAAGGAATATTCAGTATCGTTTCCACATTTCCCACCTGAATTCAATACTATTCATCAAAGGAGTGGCACCATATCTGTCTTTGGCATGGACGCTTGCCCCACTTTTCAAGAGGTACTCAGTTAAGTGAACATGTCCTTCGCTTGATGCCACATGAAGTGGGGTGCGCCCATCATAATCTTCACAGCTCAGATTTCCCCCCTGCGAAAGAGAGATAATATATACTCCCATCTGTTAGCAACGAAAAGGACTAAAATGGTACAATAATAGGCTGGACTGTGGATTATGGAGTCTAGTGTCTAGATCTAGGAAGTCATGCTACCCCTCTATTCTGCCTTGGTCAGACCACATCTGGAATATCTGTGTCCAATTCCAGGCACCACAATTGAAGGAAGATGTTGACAAGCTGGAATGTGTCCAGAGGAGGGCGGCTAAAATGATCAAGGGCCTGGAGAACAAGCCCTATGAGGAGCAGCTTAAAGAGCTGAGCATGTTTAGTCTTCAGAAGAGAAGGCTGAGAAGAGACATGATAAGGGCCATGTATCAAGATGTGAGGGGAAGTCATAGGGAGGAGGGAGCAAGCTTGTTTTCTGCTACCCTGGAGACTAGGACACAGAACAATGGCTTCAAACTACAGGAAAGGAGATTCCACCTGAACTTCCTGACTGTGAGAGCTGTTCAGCAGTGGAACTCTCTGCCCCGGAGTGTAGCGGAGGCTCCTTCTTTGGAGACTTTTAAGCAGAGGTTAGATGGCCATCTGTCGGGGGTGCTTTGAATGTGATTTTCCTGCTTCTTGGCAGGGGGTTGGACTGGATGTCCCATGAGGTCTCTTCCAACTCTATGTTTCTATGATTTGTGGCAACTCCATGGATTCTTCTTAGTAAGAAATATTCAATTTGTTACCAAGCGTATCCTGGCTTCTCCAGTTTAAACAATAATCAACATGATAAAGACTTAACATGAGTTCGGATGGACTTAGATCTGTGAGTCCTGAGATCCCTTTCTATATGGCATTACGTAATTAATTGACCTTATTTACAAATATAAAGAATCAGTACAAATATAGGCAGAGCCCAAAATTCCAACAGACAACCAAGCTCATTATTGCACATCAGATCTCCAGTTAATAACTTTCCTGAGCTTATTATCGTCCTAACTTTCTCTCTCTCCAAAGACTTCAGCTCGTATTCAGACGCTACTTTTGTTTTCCTTTCACATCTATTTTAGCTGGAAGAGGCCATAGATACCTATCCTCCAACTGCCCTGGTTTGCAAGGATAATTCTGATTAATCCTCAGCCATCTCATATTTTCAGTTTATTTGATAATGCCCCAGGTTTCTTTCTTCCCTTTCCATTTTGTCCTTAGTTTATATCAATGGCAGAAAAGTGAGTTCAAAGCACAAAACATAGTTTTCATTCAATTGACTCAGTAGGGAGGGAGGAGAGGAAGAGGCAGAATCTTGCTCTTCCTCAAAAAAGTAAAGCAAAAGTAAAGTGTGGCCACATTTTCCCCATGCATGCTCTCCCTCATTAATAACTTTTGCCATCTTAACCACATTCTCACCTTCTTGACCACATGTTTTCATTTGTGAAATGTTTTTTTTGCATTACAAATAAGATATGTGCAGTGTGTGTAGGAATCAGTTCATTTTTCCCAAACTATGTTGCCGCCCCCCCCCCCCAAAAAGTCTGAGGAAGCATGAACCACCACCACCACCACCCCCTCCACCTTAAAAGGTTGAGGACCTCTGGTTTACAGCCTTAGACAATGACTGACACTATTCCTACAACCAGGGCATGGTAGGAAGAAGGAGGAGGAGGAGGAGGAGGAGGAGGAGGAGAAGAAGGATGAGGAGAGGAGAAGGAAAGGAGAAGGAGAAGGAGAAGGAGAAAAGGAGAAGGAGAAGAGGAGGAGGAAGGAGGAGGGAGAGAAGGAGAAGAAAAGAAGGAGGAGGAGGAGAAGAAAGGAGGAGGAGGAGGAGGAGGAGGAGACAGAGAAGAAGGAGGAGGAAGAGGAGGAGAAGGAGGAGACAGAGAAGGAGGAGGAGAAGGAGGAGGAGGAAGGAAGAGGAGAAGGAGGAAGAGAAGGAGGAGGAGAAGAGGAGGAGGAAGGAGAGGAGAAGGAGGAGGAAAGAAGAGGAGGAGAAGGAGGAGGAAGGAGAAGGAGGAGAAAGGAGAAGAGAAGGGAGGAAGGAGGAGGAGACAGAGAAGGAGGAGGAGGAGAAGGGGAGGAGAAGAGAAGGAGAAGAGAAGGAGGAGGAAGAAAGAGAAGAAGGAGAAAGGAGAGAAGGAGAAGAGGGAGGAGGAGAAGGAGAAGAGGAGAAAGAAGGAGGAGGAGAGGAGGAGGAGGAGAAGAGGAAAGAGAAGAGAGAAGAAAAGGGAGGAGGGAAGAGAAGGAAAAAGGAGGAGGAGGAGGAAGGAGGAGGAGAAGGAAGAGAAGGAAAAGAGAAGGAGAAGGAGAGGAGGAGAAGGAGAAGGAGAAGAGGAAAGAGAGAGAAGGAGAAGGGGGAGGAGAGGGTCGCGAAGAAGGAGATAAATTTATTACCCGCCTGAATGGGAAGATAAACAAGTGGCATCCAAAACAATCTGTCACCCAATAATATGCAATCAAAGCAGATGGCCATCCAGCTACTGTTTACAAGCCTCTAGAGGAGACTCCAGGCAGGCATGTAGCCGCGGGGGGGGGGGGGGGGGGGGGGGGGGGGGGGGGGGGGGGGGGGGGGGGCTTGAGGGGCTTCAGCCCCCCCCCCCGAAATTCTCATGGTGGTTCGCGAAAAGGCCTTACTGGTGCATTATTTAAACTGCTATGTTTATTCATATCATGATCTGATCACTATACTCAATATATCCCATATGCATGGGGGTATTGGGGTAACGATACAAAAGGTTTGCTAGGGTAGACCCTCTTTCACTCAGACTCAGCCTCCCCCCCCCGAAACAAACTCACCCCCCCCCCCCAATGAAATCCTGGCTACGCCTGGGCCAAGTATTCCACTGTGAAACAGCTCTTACTGTCAGGAAGTTCTTCCTAAAGTATAGATGGAATCTCTTCCTGTTGTAGGAACGAATTGTTCCATGCCTTACTCTCTGGAACAGCACAAAACAAGATTGCTCCCTCCTCAAGCCTGTTGTAGGTCAACATTAGTGGAGGTGCCAGTTTGGGGGGAAATGGGTTAGATTGTTTTGTTTGTGTTCTGTTAATTCATACTGAAGTTAATGGATGTGTTTATACATAGTCACAGTTTACCCCTTCATCTTAGTAAATAATTGGTAAACAGCTAGCATTCTACCCTATTTTACATGCATTTTATTGTTCAAAACATGCCAGTTTGGTATCATTTCTCCAAAATATATAAAAAAACTAAATTCTCCCACCTCCTTATTAAATTAATGCACATTGGGTTTTATCTTTCGGTTTATGTTATTTTGTATTTTTTTATGGCATTGAATGTCTGCCTCTCCCTAAGTTGTAAGCCACCCTGAGTCCCCAATGCGGAGATAGGGCAGGATAGAAATAAAGTATCATTCATTTATCACTTAATAGCTGCAGCCAAATCTTACCCTCACATTGATTTGTGCCCCATGGACTTCGAGTCCAGCTGTTACATGAGTTACTCCTATAAGTCTCAATGTTATAATTCCCCTGAACAGGCTTCAAACATTTATATTTACCGCTTCTTCGATGGCTTTCAGTGCATCCATGTCACCAGTTTTAGCAGCAGCACAAGCCAAAGATGGGATCAACACTCCAAGTTCCTACATAACCAAAAAAAACCAAAACCTTTTCAAAGTATTGGTTACATGAGCATACACACATTTTATATAGATAGAGAGAGAGATGTATAGCTAAAGAAATACAATATACCATAAACTTATTTATTATTTATTAACAGCATATATATTCCACCCTTCTAACCCTGAAGGGGACTCAGGGCGGGTTACAGAACACATACACAGCAAACATTCAATGCCGTTAAACAGACAGGACAGACAACAGACAGAGGCATTTTTTTCCCAAATTCAGTGTCCTGGAGGTTGTGCTCAATTTCAGCCACAAGGAAGTGCTGTCGTTCCATCCTCTATGACAAAGAGGCTTGATCACAGACTTCCTCCAGTCACCAGCATTTTTCTGGTATTTCCTTTATGGTGCCTCATGTCTCATAACTTACAGCTGTTTCCAAACTTCTTAGGTGGACAGTAAGCTGGGCTGAAGGTTGGGTGCTCATGCCAACCCGGGCTTCAAACTGGAAACCTTTTGACTGGTAAGTTCTATTGCTGCTGGTGATTAACCAGCTGTGCTAAAGCCCGATCCATTAAATTGATGTAATGTCCCCAGAATAAATGTGGAGATTGGATTAAGGTGATTATATTAATCTATATAAATAAAAATGCAATGTTCGTTTGTGATATTCACAGAACTCAGAAACCCCTGGGCGAGTTGACACCAAATTTGGACACAAGACACCTAACAACCCAATGTATGTCCTTCACTCCAAAAAAATTGTTGTCATTTGGGAGTTATCGTTCCTGGGATTTATAGTTCACCTACAATCAAAGAGCATTCTGAACCCCACCAATGATGGAATTGAACCAAACTTGGCACACAGTTCTCCCATGACCAACAGAAAATACTGGAAGGGTTTGGTGGGCAGGGTCCTTTGGAGTTGTAGTTCACCTACATCCAGAGATCACTGTGGACTCAAACAAGGATGGATCTGGACCAAACTCTACAAAAATACTCAATATGCCCAAATGTGAACACTGGTGGAGCTTGGGGAAAATAGAATCTTGACATTTGGGAGTTGTAGTTCTTGGTATTTGTAGTTCACCTACAATCACAGAACATTCTGAACCCCACCAACGATAGAATTGGGCCAAACCTCCCACACAGAACTCCCATGACCACCAGAGTGGACCACAGCAACGTATGGCAGGGGATGGCTAGTTTATAATAAATGTAGAGATTGGATTAAGGAGATTATATTAATTTATTAGAGAAGCACAGAAATAATTCCAATTCAAAAAACGTAAAGGAATGAACACAATCTGGAGAATTCTGGAGAATTCACAGTTTTAGGTTTCTTTTAGATTTACATTTCCACAGTGGAAATGTCCTGAAGGCATACAACAACAACAACAACAACAACAACAACAGAGTTTGATCTCTGCATTTACCTCTTTGCAATTACGACTTATAAATTTGGCCATCACTTTGATAAAGATGCTGTTATTTAAGGAGCACTGGGTTGCTGTGAACACAGAAGACATTTCACCTCTGAGATTGTCGCACAGCATCTGGAGATGAGAAAGAGAGAAAGAGATCAAAACTTCACTGGAAAAACAAACAAAAATAGAATTATAATTCTCATGGCTTGCTTTAAAAAAAGTCGCACCTAGAGATCATTAGAAAGAACATTTTAATCAAATCTATGAAACCCCACAAATGTGAAAGGTCAACTGTATTCATCAACCTCATGTCTTGGAATATGATGGGACCCTTAATTGCGGATCTCAAATTTCTGACCCAATCATGCAAAAGAGGCAATCTTTCAGTTATCCTGGCCTTAAGCCATGTAAACCTTTGTAAAGCAGAAGAAAACCCTTGAATCAGATTGGGAGCCAGTGTGGCTGATGCAAGACAATCACAATGCATTCTCTAAAGTGGAGCCTAGACAGACTAGCCTCCACATTTTGCACTAATTGTAGCTTATGAATATTTTTCAAGCATCCGGAACACATTACAGTAGTCGAAGTGCGGCATAATTAAGATACAAACCACTACAGCCAAACCTAACTTCCAAAGAAACTAAAATCAAGCTGTAATCTGAAATCTTTTTTTAAAGCTGTGATTTGGAGGCTTTACCTGCTTCTTTTCTTTCCAAGAGAGCTGCTTTTTCCCCAACACATATGACAGCTTTGCCAGAGATGCTTCGGGAGTCATATCCCCTCCTGAAATCACTCCAACATGAGTAAGGTCCTAGAAATAACAAAATATTATGTCGTAAAATGTTGGGCACAATTAACCTAACTACTGTGACAAAACACAAGCATAATTTATCCCATGATCCATGTCACCAAATGTAGACTTGCAAACATGTGAGGGGGAAATACATATATAAGAATAATGTATACATATAGATACAGATATACAGATACACGGAAATCTCTAGATATCTACATGTATATAAAATTTGCAAAAACCTGCAAACATATGAGAGGAAAAATTATATATAAAATTTATGTATACAGATAGATAGATATAGATATATAAATACATAGGGATTGCAAAGGCTCGCAGGGGGAAATGCCTATCTCCTCATATCTGTAGGAGAGATTAACAAATATTTCAGGGAAATTCTTTTATAAGATTAATGGATATATATATACATGTGTGTGTGTGTGTAGTAAAGGTAAAGTCTTGACATTAAGTCTTGTCATGTTTGACTTTGTGGGTTGGTGCTCATCTCCATTTCTAAGCCGAAGAGACGGCGTTGTCTGTAGACACCTCCAAGGTCATGTGGCCAGCATGACTGCATGGAGCACCGTTACCTTCCTGCCAGAGCAGTACCTATTGATCTGCTCACATTTGAATGTTTTTGAACTGCTAGGTTGGCAGAAGCTGGAGCTGAAAGCAGAAGCTCATGCCACTCACTGGATTCGAACCTGCGACCTTTCGGTCAACAAGTTTAGCAGCTCAGCGGTTTAGCCCACTGCGCCACAGGGGGCTTCATACATATATATGGTTTGCAAATACTTCAGGAGAAACATGCATATATAGAAACACAAGTATATATATATATATATAGAGAGAGAAACATATATAGAAACACACAGGGTTTGAAGTGAACACTTTCAAGGGAACAAAAATGCACATCTAAAGTTACTACATTTATATACACAGAAATCAGACTTGCATGCATATATAAGATGAATATGCATATAGATATAAACAGATAACACAGGGCTTGCAAAGTTTTCTAGGTGGGAAATCTATATATTATTTACAAGCTCTCACTCCTTTCCCTTTTCAAAACATTACGTTCTTCTCTCTCTCTCTCTCTCTTTTTTTTTTTAAGTAAGAGTTTCAAAATGAGCAACTCCAACCTGGGAGGAGAAGTGGAGTGAGGGAGGATTTGGAAAAGAAAACCCACTGTTAAAGGAAGGAAAGAGGAGAGGAAAATATATCATATATTGCAAGCAATGGCTGCATCGGAGTCTTGACTCCATTATAAGCTGAGGGAGGCTTTTTCAGTGCAAAAAAAGGGCTGAAAAACTTGGCTTATATTTGAGTATATACAATATGTTGTTCCTGATTCTTTATATCATTGTTTGGAGTAAAACTGATTTTGTAAAACCTTATTTTCCTACACTGTGAATGTTTACTTGCTATTTCTATAGAAAGAGACATTATCACAACTCATAAAGTAGATTCCTAATATAATAAACAAGCTATGCTGTTACTGAACAGTTACTTAACATTTCACCGCTTCCTTCACCTGTCCGGTTGCGTAGGTTGGAGCCACAGAACCTCGCAAGCACTGTGTGCAGTTTAGGATCACCACGTTCCTCTCCGTCGCTTGCTTCAACTCTTCCAACAAATCAGGACGGTTGTTTGGGGCATTGCCACAACCATACGTTTCCAGTACTATCCCTTCCATTGGATGCTGCAGAAATGCCCTCACCTATTGTGATTACAACATTAATGAAAAAGTAATGACTACAGTTGAGATAGTTTTGTAAAAGTATGGCATACTTGTGTCGAAAACCATTGTATTCTGTCTCAACAAACAAAATAATAGCGCAGACTTCCAGTATCTGATACAGTAAAAGTAAAGGTAAAGGGTTCTCCTTGATATTAAGTCTAGTCATGTCCGACTCTGTGAGGTGGTGCTCATCTCCATTTCTAAAACGAAAATCCGTCCGTAGACACCTCCAAGGTCATCTGGCTGACATAACTGTATGGAGCACCATTACCTTCCTGCCGGAGTGGTACCTATTGATCTACTCACATTTGTATGTTTTCAAACTACTAGGTTGGCAGAAGCTGGGACTAACAGCAGGAGCTCACTCTGCTCCCCAGTTTTGAACCTTTCGGTCAACAAGTTCAGCAGCTCAGCAGTTTTGAGAAGTTATACTGATTATTCAAGCAACCACATTGGTCTATTTGTATAAAAGTTCTCTGCATACATTCCTTTGATTTCGAAATGTAAAATTGGAACAAGAGCATTGGCCAAATGTGAAATTATTGCCAATATATAATGAATATCCCTCATCCAAAATGCTTGGGACCAGAAGGGTTTTGGATTTCAATTTCCCCCCCAATATTTTGGAATACTTGTGTATTTGCTTATATTTGTACTGGCATTGAATATTTGCCATTTTTTACTTTGGAAGCCGCCCTGAGTTCTCTTGGGGAGAGAGGGTGAGTTAAAAATATAGTTTTATCTTGTTGTTGTTGTTGGTATTATTATTATTATTACCAGCATCAATTATTATTATTATTATTATTATTATTATTATTATTATTATTATTATTACCAGCATCAATTATTATTATTATTATTATTATTATTATTATTATTATTATTATTATTATTATTACCAGCATCATATATGCTCATAATGTGTTGGGATCCAAGTCTAGCAAGACATTCATATATCTGTTGCATGGTATACACCTTCTACAAATAGACTGAAGGCAGATTTATACACACTATTTTCAATAATTTTGTGCATGAAACAAAGTTTGCTTCTGAACTACCCGAAAGTAAAGGTGTCACTATTACAGCCATCCATGTGCATCATAATAATTTCTGGAATATTTTGGATTTCAGAATTCCAGATAAGGAATGCTCAACCTGTAGTTTACTGGACATAGCTTTGATCATTTTTATTGGGCCACATACTGTAGTAGCAGTAATTCCTGGGAAGATCCTCAGCAACCCCACGTTCCTGTTCATTTCAGTGTGGACCTTGAACTTCTTGGTGGAAGTGGCTCGCCACACAATTCCCCAGTCAACTTTGAGAAAGAAAACAAGAAGGGAAGAAGATAAAGGAAGGGCTAGGAGATTGGGAAAAGATGACATCAACACACAAACACATGCACAGTTTGTAGCGACTGAAGTATTCTAAAGAAGAAGTGGAAAATGCCATGTAATTCACTGTTCTTCTTCTGAAATCCATCTAAAACAGTGGTTCTCAACCTGTGGGTCCCCAGATGTTTTGGCCTTCAACTCCCAGAAATCCTAACAGCTGGTCAACTGGCTGGGATTTCTGGGCCAAAACACCTGGGGACCCACAGGTTGAGAACCACTGATCTAAAATAACATAATGAATCTGTCCCTTGATATCATATGAGCTTGAAACCAGGTCAGTTTTAAAATGTAATTCTCAATGAGGCCTCACATTAACTTGTCAAACCTTAAAATACCTCAAAATTTAAACTGCTCTCATGGGGGGATCTAGAGCTGCAGCAATTTAGTGCCACTTACTTCTCATATCCACCTCAGCATTTGCCAGAGGAGGCAGATTAGGAGAAGAGAAGGCCTCAAAACTTCCTGTGTCCACTTTGGTCACCCTGTTTCCCCGGTACAGTTTATGGTGAAAATAGAGGCACACCTGGAAGAAAAAGCAAGTCTGAGTGAAGGCTGTCATGCTCTCAGTTCAGCAGAAACCACCCTCTGCTTAACTTAACTAACCAACTACTGTGAAAACTGTAAGGTGTTCCACATACTAATTTATCATAAAGCAGGTTAGTTGCATCACCATGTACTTCCACCATAAATACTATTACTATTACTACTGGTAATGTTAATACAGCAATAGTAATTTTATATGTTGCAATTCTTCATCTCAGTCCATGGGGAGAGGAGGGAAACATATGCATACATATATACGACGAGAAGGATGAGGATGATAATAATCAACATCATTTTATTGTGTATGTGGACTACATTACAGGATCGGAGGTTTAGCACAGCTGGTAAATCATCAGCAGCTATAAGATCTACCAACCGACAGGTTGCAAGTTCGAAGCCCCGGGTTGGCGTGAGCAGCCGACCGTCAGCCATGCTCACTGTTGACCTAAGCAGTTCAAAAACAGCTTTAGCTGTAATTAGAGAAATTAGACACCGCTAAAAGCGGGGAAGGTGTTTTACAACGCCATAAAGAAAAAGAAGATCAGAAAATGCTGGAATGAGGAAGTCCTGACGGCTCTTCGTCATAGAGAATGGAGCGACAGCATCCCCTATGGGCTCGAGCCCAACTGTCCATGGCATCAAAACAACATACCTTCTTGTGTTCTGTCTGTCTGTGTACTGTCTATACAAATGGCATTGAATGTTTGCTGTGTATGTGTACTTGTGATCTGCCCTGAGTCCCCTTCGGGGTGAGAAGGGTGGAATATAAATAAAGTGTTGTTATTGTTGTTGTTGTTATTGTTATTATTATTATTATTATTTGTATTGCCTGCCTCTCTCCACTGCAACATATTAAAATACAGCATGAAAGTTGAGAAAATGTTTTTAAAAATCACTTATACATCCATTTTTAAGCTTTTGTGTGTTCTTTCAAGGTTAAAATGCTTTTGTGTACTTACCAGTCGTAGTTATTTTATTTTACATGTGTGTACTGCTAGTTCTGAATAAAAAAATTGCTGAAGCTTGCAAAACTGCTTCTATCCCTATTTCTTCCATTCAGATTCTGCCCCTGGTACCATTTTTTTAAAAATGGATGAAATAATGGCCCTGAATACATCTACTTCATTAACTGAAATATACCTACATTTGCTTTTCAAATCTATGTTGTGAGCTGCCTTGGGTCATGTGTAGTGAAAAGGGCAGGATTTTAATCTTTTCTGGCAAGCAAAGGAATATTGATACTACAAACCTCCGGAATGACAAACTGTCCAGCTATCAGCAATGCCCCCAAGAGATTAGAACGCCCATCATTCCTCAATTCATAGATCGGTACCTAGGAAACAACAAAAGATCTCTCACAGCACTATTAATGCAGTGGAAATTTTGAGAAAGTTGCAACATAGAGGCAAAGTCAAAGGATCTCACACTCTGATAGATGAACAGCATTATAATAAAAGACTTCCCGCAAGAATAGGATAAGTTTATATACCTGAGCTCCTGTTAGAACAATGGGTTTACCAAGGTTCTCACACATGAAGGACAGGGCAGCAGCAGTATAAGCCATTGTGTCTGTTCCGTGAAGGATCACAAAGCCATCGTATTGTTCATAGTAGGTCTAAGAGAAGCAAAGATAATTTGTAAATAATTCTCAAAGACAAGGGTACAATCAGACATAAAAATTGTATTTTATACAGAGGGTGGGAATGCTGATCTGAGAATGGAGGAACTTTCAGTGGTTCTGTTGTCATGGACAGATCACTGCCTTTTCGGTGGCTGCTCCCAGGCTGTGGATCTCCCTCCCAGGAGAAACCAGAATGGCCCCATCTCTGCTGGCCTTCCACAAGCAGGTCAAGACCTTCTTCTGCCAACAGGCTTTTGTGGAAAGGCAAGGGGAGGCTCTGGGGAGGGTGGATGGGATTGGGGTGGGGATATAAATAAAGATTATTATTATTACTATTTGAAACACATCAAGATGACTCCACAGCAGACACTCTGCTGGCTGTTGCATTGAATCACACATCGGACATTTCCCAAGTGTCTAGGACTATGTGATGTATCGGCGAATAATTCGTGCAGATCCCAGTAAGGTGGCCTTTTGCAGCTGACAGATGGTAATTTTGTCAGTGCCAATTATGTTTAAGTGCAGGTCAAGGTCTTTAGGCACTGCACCCAGTGTGCCGATCACCACTGGGACCACCTTTACTGGTTTGTGCCAGTCTTTGCAGTTCGATTTTTAAATCCTCATATCGTTAGCTTTTCCAGTTGTTTCTCATTAATCCTGCTTTCGCCTGGGATTGCAACATCGACAATCTATACTTTGATGATGATGATGATGATGATGATGATTATTATTATTATTATAGTTTTAAAGATCATTTTAATTTATTTGCTGTATTTTAATTGTTTTTACCACACTGTTATTATTTATTTTTTAACTTCTGTATTGGTTTTTAAAAACTGTTTAGTGTGGGTAGATGTTAGTCGCCTTGACTCCCCATGGGGGAAAGGCGGGATATAAATAAAGATAACAACAACAATAACAACAATGCTAAGCATAATGGTTTCACCTACAAGTTGTACACAGGCTGCTATCACTATTTAAAAAACCCAGACCCTGTCACATGTAGGTTACTAGCTGAGCAAAGTGGGTTGAAAGTTGGACTCAGTACTCTAGGATAGGGGTCCTCAAACTTTTTAAACAGAGGGCCAGGTCACAGTCCCTCAAATGGTTGGAGGGCCAGATTATAATTTGGAAAAAAAATGAATGAATTCCTATGGACACTGCACATAACTTATTTGTAGCGCAAAAACACTTTGTTGTTCATTTGTTCAGTCGTCTCCGACTCTTCGTGACCTCATGGACCAGCCCACGCCAGAGCTCCCTGTCAGCCGTTACCACCCCCAGCTCCTTCAAGGTCAATCCAGTTACTTCAAGGATACCATCCATCCATCTTGCCCTTGGTTGGCCCCACTTCCTTTTTCATTCCATTTTCCCCAGCATCATAGTTTTCTCTAAGCTTTCCTGTCTTCTCTTGATGTGGCCAAAGTAATTTGCCTCTAATATCTTTCCCTCCAATGAGCAGTCGGATTTACTTCCTGGAGGATGGACTGGTTGGATCTTCTCGCAGTCCAAGGCACTCTCAGAACTTTCCTCCAACACCACAGCTCAAAAGCATCGATCTTCCTTCGCTCAGCCTTCCCTAAGGTCCAGCTCTCACATCCGTAGGTTACTACAGGGAATACCAAGGCTTTGACTAGGCGGATCTTTGTTGCCAGTCTGATGTCTCTACTCTTTACTATTTTATCGAGATTGGACATTGCTCTCCTCCCAAGAAGTAAGCGTCTTCTGATTTCCTGGCCACAGTCTGCATCTGCAGTAATCTTTGCACCTAGAAATACAAAGTCTGTCACGGCCTCCACGGTTTCTCCCTCTATTTTCCAGTTGTCAATCATTCTTGTTGCCATAATCTTGGTTTTTTTGACGTTTAGCTGCAACCCGGCTTTTGCGCCTTCTTCTTTCACCTTGATTAGAAGGCTCCTCAGCTCCTCCTCGCTTTCGGCCATCAGAGTGGTGTCATCTGCATATCTGAGGTTGTTAATGTTTCTTCCAGCAATTTTCACCCCAGCTTTGCATTCATCCAGCCCCGCACATCGCATGATGTGTTCTGCATACAAGTTAAAAAGGTTGGGTGAGAGGGACTTCCGGTGCACGAAAGATGGCGAGAAGACGGGCACCTTAGAGCGCTAGCGAGTGCCACCCCTGACCAGGCGACCGGGTAGAGCAATAGCTCCCTTCCCTATCGCGGATTGAAGCGGCAGGGAACAGCGGAACCGGGGGGATCGCCGATGGTCTAAACGGGGGCCCTCTCCTCAAGAGGGGGTCACCAAAAGGACCCGGCAAGGTCCCCCGAGGTACGGCGGGTCGCGGCAGGGCGATCGGGACCGGGAACGGAGCCGAACTTATCCTCGTCCACGTGCATTTTAAATGGAGAGAAACAAAGACTGGAAAGAAAAAGTAAGTGGAAATAAGTAAAGGATTCAGAGAGGAGGGTGGGGTCCCCTCCCAGAGAAGGGAGGAAGAAAGAACCAGTAAGATCTAGAAATGGAAAGAAAGAGGAAGAGGAAAAATAAAGGAGAAAAAGAAGGAGAAGGAGAAGGAGAAGGAGAAGGAGAAGGAGAAGGAGAGAAACGGAGTGAAACCCGGAACCCATTTAATACTACTCAGAATATTATAAGCCATTTGACGGAAACACTATAAGTCATTTGAACAAATAATCAGACCTCGATATTCATAGATATTAGGAGCAAAGACAAATAAATAACGACGAAGGTTAAACAAATAAAAACAAATAAAATAAACAGAAACAGCGAAGACGAGAGGGGAAAGAGAGACTTCACACAAAGGACTCCCGGCCAGAAAAGGCTCAAAATAAAAAGAAGAATCTACAAATTCGAAAAAAGGGAAACTAAAATAATTAAATTAAATTAATTAAATTAAATTAAACTAACTACGAGAAGAAGAGAGAGGGACTGACCTTGAGATACATTGTTTTGTCTACGACGACTGTAAACAAGAAGGAAGGAAACCACGCGAGAGGAGAAGGGGGAAAAAAAAAAGGGGAAACAGCGAGACTTGAGAGATCGCGAGAGAAAGCAGGAGAAAACGGGAAAAAACGGGAGAAAAAGAGACTTGAGAAACAGGAAGAGGAAGAACGCAAATAGATCAAAGGGAGAATATAAACAGAAACACAAGAAGCTTGAAAGACGGAGGAAACTGAGACAAACGGAAGGCAAGGTGACTAGAGTCCCAAGAGAAAAGACCGAGGGAGAGAGGAGGAGCGAGAGCGAGAGCAGAGAGAACACAGAAAAGACACATACTACACCAAAAAGAAGGAAAGAAACAAGGTAAACGGAGCCACATACAAGGGGAAAATTTAAATAAAATTGAACGAAAACATCATGAAATACTTAGAAAAAATGAAAATTCAGAAAATAACGGAAGAGGAAAGGGAAGATTTAAATAAAGAAATAACAGAAAAAGAAATTATAAAGGCAATAAAAAATCTAAAAGTAAACAAAGCACCGGGCCCAGATGGATTCACCGCGACATATTACAAGAAACTACAAAGTGAGATAACACCATATCTAAAAAAAGTAATAAACGAAATTAGAGAGACACAAGAGATACCGAATACTTGGAAACAAGCAAACATATGCGTAATCTTAAAAGAGAATAAGAACCCAGAAAGAATAGAAAATTATAGACCGATATCTCTTCTAAACATAGATTATAAAATATTTAGCAGCATACTGGCAGACAGATTTAAAAACTTTCTAGTTAATTGGATAAAAGAGGAACAATCGGGCTTCCTTCCGGGTAGGAACCAAAGCGAAAATGTCCGAACAATAATTGATCTAATTGAGTATTATGAAAAGAATACACAAAAAGAGGCAATGTTCTTAGCTATAGACGCGGAAAAAGCTTTTGACAGAGTAAATTGGAACTTCTTTAAATTACTAATTGGAGAAATGGATATGGGCTTCTACTTCCGCAACTCGATAGAGGCAATATATAAAACACAGAATGCGAAAATTATAGTAAATGGTCAAGAGACAAAAAAGATAGATATAAAGAAAGGGACTAGGCAAGGATGCCCATTGTCGCCGCTTATATTTATACTAACTTTGGAAATTCTATTAAATAACATCAGAGATGATACGAAACTAAAAGGGGCAAATATAAAAGGATACTCTTATAAATGCCGAGCCTTCGCAGATGATATTATATGCATTATTTTAATTTAACTAAATTTAACTAATTTATGAGGCCATAAAGAAAAAAGACTCCGGGGAATGTGGAATGCGGAAGAACTTCATCGGTGTCGTTGATGGACGATGAAAAGCAGCAGCTCCCCTGGCGGCCAGAAAAAAAAAAGTTAAATAGCCTCGGTGTATTTGTGTGTTAAATGTTGTTTGTCAAACTGGCATTGAATGTTTGCCATATATGTGTTTACTGTAATCCGCCCTGAGTCCCCTGCGGGGTGAGAAGGGCGGAATATAAGAACTGTAAATAAATAATAAATAAATAAATAAATAAATAAAATAAGATAGATGACAGTTATTAATGGAATTGGGTTATTATTATTATTATAGTTTTAAAGATCATTTTAATTTATTTGCTGTATTTTAATTGTTTTTACCACACTGTTATTATTTGTTTTTTAACTTCTGTATTGGTTTTTAAAAACTGTTTAGTGTGGGTAGATGTTAGTCGCCTTGACTCCCCATGGGGGAAAGGCGGGATATAAATAAAGATAACAACAACAATAACAACAATGCTAAGCATAATGGTTTCACCTACAAGTTGTACACAGGCTGCTATCACTATTTAAAAAACCCAGACCCTGTCACATGTAGGTTACTAGCTGAGCAAAGTGGGTTGAAAGTTGGACTCAGTACTCTAGGATAGGGGTCCTCAAACTTTTTAAACAGAGGGCCAGGTCACAGTCCCTCAAATGGTTGGAGGGCCAGATTATAATTTGGAAAAAAAATGAATGAATTCCTATGGACACTGCACATAACTTATTTGTAGCGCAAAAACACTTTAAAACAATAAAATAATTAAAATGAAGAACAATTTTAACAAATATAAACTTATTAGTACTTCAACGGGAAGTGTGGGCCTGCTTTTGGCTGATGAGATAAGATTGTTGTTGTTGTTGTTGTTGCTGTTGTTTTGGTTTCAAGTCGAGGGCCAGGAAAATGACTTTGGAGGGCCGTATCCGGCCCCCGGGCCTTAGTTTGAGGACCCCTGCTCTAGGAGATACTCCAGGTTTCAAATCACCACTCAGTCATGAAAACTCATAGTCTTGGGCAAGTTCCACTGTCCTGGCCTTAGGAAAAGACAGTGATAAACCTTCCCCTGAATATATCTTGCATAGAAAATACTAGGAAAGAGTTTCCATAACTTGGACTCTGTTTAAAGGCACATAATAACCAAATATCAACACAAAATGATTAAACAGCCCAGAAATGACAAGGAAGGGTTGTGTAGCAATCAGAAGAAAACAAAACTTCAATTTGCTAAACTTCAGCGTCTTGACTGAACCTTTTTAAAATATGTATTTATATATATATATATATATATATATATATCACACACACACACAATAGAGTCTTGCTTATCCAACCTTTGCTCATCATCATGTATTATCCAACACAGTGTGCCTCCCGCCTGGATCCAAAGCTGTTTCATTACATTGCGATGTTTTAGTGCTAAATTTGTAAATACAGTAATTGCTACATAATGTTGCTGTATATTAAACTGCTTTTTCTGTCGATTTGTTGTAAAACATGATGTTTTGGCAGGGCCGAAGCCAGAAAAAATTTTCGGGAGGGGTTGAAAATTTCAGGGGGGGGGGTTAAAAATTTCAGGGGGGGGGTTGAAAATTTCGCAGGGAGGTTGAAACCTGCCTCCAAGCTCACGCTGAAGCAAAGAGCACATCAGGGGAAGAGCAGCCTTCAAAGCCTGCAGCTCCGTCCCTGTCAACCATCTCCACCAAGTCTGGCCTCCTTAATGAGAGCATTCAAACCCTGCCCCCCAAAACTTGGTTGCTTCACTACATCGGCTATTGCTGCAAGAAATGACAGCGTGAATAAATTGTCAATATTTGCTTGCGATAGTGCTTGCAGTTCTGGAGGGACTCTTAATTTTTTTGCATCTCATAGACTTAGCATGGGGATTTGGTTAACCAGTTAAAATTCATGAGTAAACCAGTTTTTTTTTAACCTGAAAAAATGGGGGGGGGGGGTTGAACCTCTAAACCCACCGACCACCACCACCCCCCACCCTGCCAGCTACAGGCCTGTGTTTTGGTGCTTAATTTGTAAAATCATAATGTAATTTTACTTTTAATAGGCTTTTCCTTAATCCCTCCTTATTATCCCACATTTTTGCTTATCCAATGTTCTGTCTTGCTTATGTTGAATAAGCAAGACCCAACTGTAACACATTTAGAAGTATTTCAAAGTGGTTTACAAGCAGAAAGAGAAACCCTTAAATCAACAACATGAAAATGTAACAGAAGAATCTGAAGAAAAGTATAAGAAGGATAACATTTTGAGAAACAAACCCCTGACAAACACAATGTGCCAAATATAATTCTGGAAATGTCATCGAGCAGATACTTTGTTTGCCACTTCAAGAAGGAGATTTCACGCATTTAGAGCCAATGATATTAATGTGTATCTAACTCACTGCTCTTGTTGTGTGCCTTCAAGTCATTTTAAACCATGAATTTTAAATTTACATTCTAATACTACTGTATTGAAATCTTTGTATCATGTGTTTCAGTATCTCTATTTTGATGTATGAGTTTTATGTTGATTTGTTTTGACTGGATTGTACCCCACCTTGAGCTGTAGGAGAGGTGGGCAACAAATAAAACATTATTATTATTATTATTATTATTATTATTATTATTATTATTATTATTTGATACATAACAAGCTTGGTACACAGCAAACAAGATCAGTATACTGGCTTGTGTATTTGATCACACATCGGACACTTCCCAAATGTCTAGGACTGTGTGACGTATCAGCAAATAACGCGTGCAGATCTGAGTAGGATGGTCTTTTGCAGCTGACAGATGGTAATTTTGTCAGCGCCTATTGTGTTTAAGTGCAGGCCAAGGTCTTTAGGCACTGCACCCAGTGTGCCGATCATCACTGGGACCACCTTGACTGGCTTGTGCCAGAGCCTTTGCAGTTCTATCTTTAAATCCTCGTATTGTGTAAGCTTTTCCAGTTGCTTCTCGTCAATTCTGCTGTCACCTGGGATTGCAACATTGACGATCCATATTTGTTTATTTTCCACTACCGTGAGATCAGGAACATTGTGCTCCAAAACTCAGCCAGTCTGAATTCAGAAGTCCCAGAGTACATCTAATCACCTCTCAACAAAAGTTTGCTCTAGGTACTGTCAGGCCATTATATGCTAATCAAGGTGGTCAGTTGAAACATTCACACCTAGCTCCAGCAGACAAGAGTCCTTTGTCTCACCCTGGTCATTCCACAGATATATAAAGCCTTTTTTCCTACTTCCAACAGACCTCACTACCTCTGAGGATGATTGCCATAGATGAAGGCGAAACGTCAGGAGAGAATGCTTCTAGACCATGGCCATATAGCCCGAAAAAACCTACAACAACTTAGTCCCAGAGTAGTTTGATGTGTTCATTTTCCATAACTTTTCGGGGTTGTGATCCCACCAGTTCTTTGTCGCAGGCAGATGGTATTTGTGGCACAAGTTCCAATGGATCATCTGGGCAATGGTGTTATGCCTCTGCTTATAGTCCGTCTGCATGATCTTCTTGTAGCAGCTGAATATGTGATCCATTGTTTCATCTGCTTCCTTGCAGAGTCTATACTTGGGATCTGTAGTCGACTTTTAAATTCTGGCTTTGATGGCAATTGTTCTAATTTCTTGTTCTTGGGCTGCAAGAAGTAGGCCTTCGGTTGTGTGCCACATCCATGTTTTTTCCTTGTCAATTTTGCTCTCAGTTTTTTCCAGGAACTGTCCATGGAGAGCCTTCTTCTTCTTCTTCTTCTTCTTCTTCTTCTTCTTATTATTATTATTATTATTATTATTATTATTATTGACTTATGTATTCCTAATGCAAATTGATCATGAGAGTAACTTGTCCAGTGGGTTTCCATGGCTGAGCAGGAAACTGAAGCCTAGTCCCCAGAGTCATAATCCCACAACTAAACCATGACACCAATCTCCCTCTCCATCAACATCATACCCACCAAGATATCACAGATAAAAACTAGGGCATACGTGGCCAAGCAACGTAGTCACTGTGGTAGGAGGTACTAATGAGAAAAAAGCATATAAGCTAGGAAAAGGCTGCTTAGTACAGAAAGGGGAAGTGGGAGAATGAGACAAAAACTAGGACAGTTCAAAAGTAGCTGAAACAATGAGATGGCAAAGGATAATTATTAGGACTCTCCCTGAAAAATCAGGTCAGTTGGAAAGTATGTGTTTATCATACCCTCTTCCACTAGACTGACAGCTAAAATAGGTTTGAGAAGAAAACTGGGGACAAAAATTGCAGTTTTTGGATGGAGACAAAGCAAAGAAGGGTGGAAACAGGAAAGCGAAACTGGTACATTTAAAAACAGCTGAAAGGAAGGGGCAGTAGATTAATCAGGACTGTCCCCAGCCAAATCTTAACAGCCAAGGGACATGTTAAATTACCAATGTCTTTTAATATGTAAGTATAAGAAACCTCATGTTGTTTAATACCTCGAGATCTTTGGCAATCTTAGCCCAGTCATCTGTTGTCAGGTTGCAAGAATCAAGGAGCGGCGAATACTCTAGGATGCTGTAGATCACCCTTTTCTTTCTTTTCGAGAGGCTGAATAAGACAGAAATGTATAGGGGGAAAAAGTAAAACATAACAGAAATATACACTTTTGGGGTGGCTTTGCTCTTATATGAAACAACATCCTGGAGATCCCATCGTTTTCCACTTTGGGGAAAGGAAGGCACAAGGGAAGACAAGAACCTGACCTCAGAGAAAGGAAAGGCTTCAGTTCACCTTGGACACACCTGCACTGAGTCCTTAAGTCAGTTTCAAACTGGTGTTAAAGAAAGCATGCAGATGATCACGTAGGCAATCCTGGAACCCATTTGAGGTCAGGATGGTGATTACACAAACCACAGAACACTGATGCGCATTAAGGGCTCTCTGACATATTTTTGGTGGGCTTTTCTTGTCCAACCATTCCAGCTTGAAACTGCATTAAACGGTCAGTGTAGAAGAGGTCCATATCTGAGTGAAATGCTTCTTTGTAGTTCTACCCAGCTGGTCTTTTGTCCTTGTCATTGGCTTGAAAAGAACTGTCAGTTCTGCTAGCCTTTATGACTGTAAGCAAACCACTCTGGGTTTTCATCTGAGCTTTAGAGAGGCAATCCAAGCAGTTGAACCAAAGTACCCAAATAGCTTCAGAGCTTTGGATAGCTCCGTTCATGTTTCAATCTAAGGTTTTATTTCCTACTAGCTGTGCCCTGCCACGCGTTGCTGTGGCCTATAGTAAAACTTATCAAAGTTGAGGTAGATATCTGGACTATTATGAAAGAGAGGTACCTACCTATTCCTTCCCCCTTTTCCTCCCCCTTTCTCTCCTTTCTTCCTTCTCTACCTCTTTCTTTCTTTCCTTCTTTCACTACTTGGTTTCATCCTTCTCTCTTTCCTTCATTCCCTCCCCCTTTCTTCCTTTGCCTTTCTTCCCTCCCTGTTTGCTTCTTCTTTCTCTTTTTATTTCCTTTTATTTCACCACCATCATAACAATAACAATAATGCAATGCATTGCCTCTGGGACCTGACACCTCTCCCATTCCCCCTAAAAGGGTCTCATAGGAATAATAGCATCATAATAATCATAGAAATAACAACCTTTACCCGCCACGCGTTGCTGTGGCCAACCTTCCCTCTTTCTCTCCTTCTTTCCCTCCTTCCTTCCTTCCCTCCCATCTTTCCTTCTCCTTTTCCTTCTCTATCTCTTTCCTTCCTTCCCCCTTTTTCTTTCTCTTCTGGTCTCTTTTCTTCCTTCTCTCTTTCCTTCTTTCCTTCCCTCCCTCTTTCTCTACATCTTCCCCCTTCCTTCACTCCCTCTTTCCTTCCTTCATTTCCTTTTTTCTTTCCTTCTCTCCTTCTTTCCTTCCCCCTTTTTCTTTCTCTTCTGGTCTCTTTTCTTCCTTCTCTCTTTCCTTCTTTCCTTCCCTCCCTCTTTCTCTACATCTTCGCCCTTCCTTCACTCCCTCTTTCCTTCCTTCATTCCCTTTTTCCTTTCCTTCTCTCCTTCCTTCCTTCCCCCTTTTTCTTTCCCTCCCTCTGTCTCTCATTTCTTCCTCTACCTCTTTCCTTCCTTCCCCCTTTTTCTTTCTCTTCTGCTGTCTCTCTTTTCTTTCCTTCCATCTTTCCTTTTCTTTCCTTTTCTTCTTCCTTCTTTCTCTAACTTTCCTTCCTTCCCCCTTTTTCTTTACCTCCCTTTCTCTTTCTTCCTTCTTTCCTTCCTTCCTGTCTTTCCTGGATTTTGACAGGGCGGGAAGGGGCGGGGTGGGGTTTGGAGGTGGCGTGAAGTAAAAGGAGGTAAGATTGGGGCAGGGGAGTGATGGAGCGTGGGGTTGTGTGTGTGTGTGCGGCGGCGGGGGGAGTGATGGAGTGGGGTTGCGTGTGTGTGTGTGGCGGTGGGGGGAGTGATGGAGCGTGGGGTTGCGTGTGTGTGTGTGCGGAGGGAGTGATGGAGCGTGGGGTTGTGTGTGTGCGTGCGGCGGGGGTGTGTGTGCGGGAAGCGGCGCGGCGGGGCTTGGAGTGGGCATGGCTTCCGCAGAGGGAACGCAGAGGGAACTGTGTGCGCGCGCCAGGGAACTTGCGGCTGGGCACCAATGCGCATGCTCAGTTGTTTTGCCGTTTTGTGAGTGTGTTGTTGTGTTGTTTTTCATTTTGAGTAGATATGTTTGTACCTTATGGGTTGTGTTATGGGCATGGGAATTTTGGTTAAGTTTCGTTGGGGGGTTTGTGAGTTTTGTTGTTTTGCCGTTTTGTGAGTGTGTTGTTGTGTTGTTTTCCATTTTGAGTAGATATGTTTGTACCTTGTGGGTTGTGTTATGGGCATGGCAATTTTGGTTAAGTTTCGTTGGGGTTTTTTGAGTTTTGTTGTTTTGCCGTTTTGTGAGTGTGTTGTTGTGTTGTTTTTCATTTTGAGTAGATATGTTTGTACCTTGTGGGTTGTGTTATGGGCATGGGAATTTTGGTACAGTTTTGTTGGGGGGTTGTGGAGTTTTGCTGTCCGGTTGAACCAACCTAACAGATTTATATATATAGATTACATAATTATAACTTTTCTAGACCCTTGTAACTGCCACCCTAAGATATTATGGGATTTATAGTTCCATATTAAGAAATCTCTGGATCTCCATATACTGACTTGAAGGCACATGAGAACGCACATATAGCAAAATCCCAGCAGAACAAAGATACCTTGCACCATTTCCCCATAAACTCTTGGCAAATTTCCAGGCTTAGAAAATTATAAAGGGGGGGGGGGGGGAGAGACATAACTTCTCTCGTTGTATACTTTAGATTTAACAGGTGATTAACTTTTTGAAGCAGAATATCCATATATACTTACGGAAGCATCAAAGTACTTTCTGCAAATTGACAGGACTCATAAAATTTGGTGGCCTTGGCATATTCTTCATCGTGTAACATAGGCATTTTTTTCAATGCCTCCACCAGTTTATGAGCTTGGGGAGCAAGTCCTGCAAAGAGAGAGGAATTGGTCGTTAAATTGAGCATAAAAAGGTAAAGGTTTGCCCTTGACATTAAGTCTAGTCGTGTCCGACTCTGGGGGTTGGTTCTCATCTCAATTTCTAAGCCGAAGAGACAGCGTTGTCCATGGACACCTCCAAGGTCATGTGGCCAGCATGACTGCATGGAGGGCCGTTACCTTCCCGCTGAAGCAGTACCTAACATCTGCATGTTTTCAAACTGCTAGGTTGGCAGAAGCTGGGGCTAACAGTGGGAGCTCAGCCCACTCCTCAGATTCGAACTGCCGACCTTTCGGTCGGCAAGTTCAGCAGCTCAGCAGTTTAACCCACTGCACCACCAGGAGGCCTTCAATTTAGCATAATATCTCAAAATAAGAGGGTGAAAGCCTCCTATCACACTGTAGATGAGAAAATGAATGCACATAAGCAGGGCTATAAACAGGTTTCTTCAGGTTCATCATTTCTCTTTTCCCTCCCCTTCATCCTTTTCTTGTGTGACAGGCGTGTTTACATTGCTACTTAGCCTACAGAACAGGGACTATCCTTCCTTTCTTTTAATATGTCAACAAATGAAAAAATAACACATCAGAATGTGGTCAAGATGGCAAAAGTTATTAATGAACACACAAGTTAGGAGACACTGCAGCAGTTTGCCTTTGCCTAATCCTACTGGGAACATTAAGAATCCATCCCGGTTTTTTGCTGCGTTGATTAAGGATATGCTACTTCTGCCATTTGAGTTTTGCTTGAAGCATTGGAAAGGAGCTGAAAATGAAGGAGGGAAATGGGATAAAGAAACTGGCACTAGAATAAAATAATAGAGTTGGGAAAGGCCACCTAGTCCAACCCACTGCCATGCAGGAAAAGCACAATCAAAGCACCCCCGACAGATGGCCATCTCTTTTAACTGGAATGACTCGATGCTATAGAATCTTGGGATTTGTTGTTTGGTGAGGCATTAGAAGCTTCAGCTCTCATGAATCCATAGCACTGAGCCATGGCAGTTAAAGTGGCACCAAACTGCATTAATTCTACTGTGTAGATGAACCAAAAGGTAAGGTACTTTTGCACTTTGAACTCAAAATGTAAAACGAAAGCTGAAAGTCAAGGCAAGTGGCGGCAGAGAAAGAAACTGGCACATTTTAAACACAGGATTAATCAGGACTGTGTTTTGGAAATCTGGACAGTTGGAGGATATGGAGATATCAGAATATTTCAGTTTAAGGTTATTCTGTAGCTAAGGGCGTTCCAGTGTTTTTGAAAAGTGAAAAATGCTGTAAACACCCAAACAACAGTATCATGTAAAAGGAAAAGGTTTCCCCTTGACAATAAGTCTAATTATGTCCGACTCTGGGGGGGTGGTGGTGGTGGTGCTCATCCCCATTTCTAAGCTGAAGAGCCGGCATTGTCCATAGACATCTCCAAGATCATGTGGCCGGTGTGACTGCATGGAGCGCCATTACCTTCCCGCCAAAGTGATACCTATCGATCTACTCATATTTGTATGTTTATGAACTGCTAGGTTGGCAGAAGCTGGGGCAGTATCATGAGGAATATGGATTTCATAGAATCGAAGCTGGAAGGGACCACAAGGGTCATCTAGTGGAATCCCCTGTCATGAAGTAAAGCATAATCGAAGCACTCCCAACAGATGGCCATCCAGCCTCTGCTTCAAAGCCTCCAGAGGAGACCTCAACACACTCCAAGGCAGCTCTTGGCCAAAGCTTCCTCCCTCGTGTCCTTTAGCTTGAACCCCTGCCCGTTGCCACTTACCTCCATCGCACTCGCTGCCCCCCATGCCAATGGTGCCCCCAGTGTTGAGCACCAGGACCCGCGCTCTGGCCTCCTCCTTGGTGGGCCAGACCTCTTGGGAGCCCCATAGGCTCTCATGGCTCAGGGAAGAGCTCCTCAGCCGCCGCAGCCGTGGGGCATGAGTCGTGGTGCCTGCTGCTGCCATGCTCTCTGCCAGCCCAGGAGGATCACAAACATTCAGCGCTGCTTATCTTCCCGAAGCCTTGATCCTATCATCTCCATGCACTTTCTATTTTTATCCGATGCATGTGGCATCTTCCATCTGACATTCACGCTGGTGCTGTGTGACCTCATTCTCAGACTTGTCAGTGTCGCTGCAAAAGACTGCCAGGAGACCCGATTCCCAACTCTTTCAGGCTGGGACAAGGCTGAACCATTAAACAACAAGAGAGACATCTTGGGGAAAGGTATCAGCAATTTTAATAGGAAAATCAAGGGTATCCAAGTTATCTGGCATGCTTCAAGATTTTGTGGCCTTTCTTTGAGGAAATGCAAAGTATCATTAGAGTCACAGTGTTGGAAGAGACCACAAGAGCCATCCAATCCAAATCCTTGCCATGCAAGAAAAGCACAATCATAGAAAACTATACAACACTATTACCTTACCTCAAACAGAATCAAGAGTCAGAAGGGTCCACAAAGTCCATCTAGTCCATCCCTCCTTCCATGCAGAAATACACATCTTTAAAAAAAAACTCTCAAAAGACGACAATCCAAACTGTTTAAAGATCTCCAAAGAAAGTCTTTAAACCAACACTGACAATAATATTTTTCATATTTAGCTTAGGTGTATTTATTTATTTTGTGTCAAAAGCATTTTATACATAAGTATAAAAACTGATAAAAAAAAGAAGGCGCACAAGCGAATAAATAATTTTTGGCCAAAACCAAGCAACAGCAACCGCATTGCCTGTAGCGTTAAATAATTCTTCCTCTGTACATGAGGCAGGGCATTGTGGACAAGCATACAAGTGTGGAGTTGTTAGTCCTGCTCCAAAGTCGCACAAGGTGGAGGATTCTTTTAGGTAGTTTTTTAATCATTTTATTCTGCACATGTCACTGTGATTGTGTTATTGTAATTTTATATTGCTAATGTATTCATATGTTTTTATGTAATTATGATGTTGTTTGTTGCTTGTGTTTTTGGTTTTATTTTGCTGTACTTTGTTGCTTGGGCTTGGCCTCATGTAAGCCACCCTGAGTCCCCGTTGGGGGAGATGGTGGCAGGGTATAAATAAAGATGATGATGATGATGATGATAATTATTATTATTATTATTATTATTGTTATTACTATTATGTAGTGCCATTTTGCCAAATTGTATGTTCAGGGACTTCCAAGTTGCCCATTCGTGGTTTGCTCTTGGAGGCAGACCCTTGTGGGGGACCATCCGATTGATTCCTGGTTTAGCTACCCAGAGGGATCCTCTTGCTGTTGCTGGAGAAAATATTAAGAGGAGTTGTTGTTCTCATGAAGCTTTTCCTTGATTTGAGTCTACTGGGAGGAGGCCGATAGCCATGCAGAAGATGACTTTCATAGTATCCAACCTTATTTCTCTCACAGTTAGCAGCAACTTCCTGGGGGGAATGCCAGTTAGCTTGACGACTCTATCAACAGGTAAAGGTTTGAGACGTCCTGTGATTATTCTGCTATGTTCATTTTCGCGTGGGCGGACTTGTGCCAAACAGGGCAGACATACTTGACAGTTGAATAAGACAAGGCCAGGGCTGATGTTTTATTAATTTTGGGTCTGCACCTCATGCGCTGCCAGTGTTTCCACAGGATGTTATTGCGTGCAGCTACTTTGTGCTTGGTGTTCATGCAGTGTTTCCTAAATGTTAGTGTATGATCTAAGGTAACACTGAGATATTTAGGATGGAAACGGTGTTGGCCTTCCTAATACTGTATTTAACTTCACCTAAGCTAAATGCATTACATTTAGCTTAGGTGAAGTTAAATATAGTATTGCATCGTACTACTCCATCTACTGTAGCTGTTTGCTAAAAGTACTTATTCAAACTCTTGAATATTCATCATTTAGAGAAAATCCATAAGACGATTATGTCTCATCTGCTGTACTGTTTTTGTCTCTTTCTAACAAGTGTAACTTCAAAATTGTGTGGTTGTAAGAGATGTCATGCAGCCACACCGAGAGAGCGAGCGAGAGAGAGAGAGAGAGCGAGAGAGAGAGAGCAATCTTCCTTTCCCAAATCGTCTTTGCTCTACTGTTTGGAAACTAGTTGGGTTACTTTTTTTCCTATTTATGTGCCTTAAATCCAAGTATATCACATATTATTAATTGGCAAGATTATTTTGATGGGGTTTGCCATTGCCTTCTTCTGAGGCTGAGAGAGTGTAACCTGCCCAAGACCACTCAGTGGATTTCCATGGTTTACTGGGGATTGAAGCCTTTGTTTACTGAATTTCTAGCCCAACATTCAAACTACTATTTTGTTTGGACCTTTATCCAGGTATAAATAAATTTCAGAGACAAGTTACATTCACAGAATCCACTGGATGGCAGCAGATACCTAGAAATAATGCAGAACTTCAATTTCCACTCTCAGCCCTCTTTTGCTGTGAAGGCAGGCAACAATGGGGGATGGATTCAAGGAGTTGTGGAGTGTCTTAAAGGGCCAAAGTGTTAAAATCCAAAATAGTATCTATAAGTCTACCAGATTTCTTGAAAAGAGGTGTGTCTGTATGTATGTGAGTAACCACAAGCCTCCTGCCCAGATCTACAGGTGAGGAAGTGGAGTTTATGTCCAACGTGGGAGAAAGAAAGAACCCTTGTCTGTTTGGGAGCTAGATAAGTAAATACAGTAATTACTACATCATGTTATTGTGTACTGAACCACTTTTTCTGTCGATTTGCTGTAATTTTTTGGTGCTTAATTTGTAAAATCATAACATAATTTCCTGTTTAATAGGTTTTTTCTTAATCCCTCCTTATTATCCAACATTTTCGCTTATCCAGCGTTCTGGCGGCCTGTTTATGTTGGATAAGTGAGACTCTACTGTATGTATATTTTACAGTTCAACAATGCATAGTTAAATACATTCCACTGGGACAAGAGAAACATTAATTGTAGGAAGAAAAAAATTATATGTTCCCTCATCTATGACCCTTTACCATTATTTTTTCAAACACACATATACACAATTTTGTAAAAAAGCAAAAAAATAAATCATGAAATGCTATGTTCAACAGTTTTATTTTTTTCCAATCAAAATTACAACAGAAAGCAAATACCAAATTGAACAGTAATCCTAAAGCAAACATTATTTTCCTAGCTGGCTTCAATGAAAGTTAACTAAAGAGTTAGATGGAGTTCATTTCCCTGTTTTATTTCTCTCACTTGGGTTTTTTCAAGCACAAGCTATATTATCAAAGCCAACCTAAAAACATTAAACACAGTGAACTATAAATCTTCTTAAACCCATAAGAGAGTAATTGCTAGAACTCTTTTAAATTGTTAGCCCCTCCGCTTGAAAGAAGAAAAAAGACCGCCCCTTCTGAGGCTGATGCCAACCCACTGTCCTTGAATCCTGACTTTGTTTACCTTGGGTTGTTGTAGGTTTTTTCCAGCTGTATGGCCATGGTTTAGAGGCATCTATGACCAGGGTGGGACAAAGGACTTTTGTCTGCTAGAGCTAGGTGTGAATTCCACAGATATATAAACCTTTTTACTAGTTCCAACAGACCTCACTACCTCTGAGGATGCTTGCCATAGATGCAGGCAAAACGTCAGGAGAGAATGCCTCTAGACCATGGCCATACAGCCCGAAAAAACCTACAACAACCCAGCGATTCCAGCCATGAAAGCCTTCGACAATACATTTGTTTACCTTATTGGTTCCACTCCTCCAATTTCTACTTTTTGAGCCAAAACTTAAAGATGATGTTCCTGTGTAAGTTCCTCCATGCAATCAGTAGTATTATATGACCCAAATGTATAATTCTGGGGAGGAACCAAGCCATGGAAGGTTTCTTCGAGCTACAACTATCACAATCCTTCAGTCAACATCGTATTTCTGGTTGAGAAAATCTCCTTACTGAGTTGTTGTAGGTTTTTCGGGCTGTATGGTCATGTTCTAGAAGCATTCATTCCTGACGTTTTGCCTGCATCTATGGCAAGCATCCTCAGAGGTAGTGAGGATGCCTGCCACAGATGTAGGTGAAACATCAGGAGAGAATGCTTCTGGAACATAGCCATATAGCCCGGAAAACCTACAATAATCCAGTGATTCCAGCCATAAAAGCCTTCGACAACACAATCTCCTTGCTGTAGGCCAAGAAAGGACATTTCCCAAGAAACTTATGAATGAGTGGAGGAAGAGTTTTTTTTTTTTTTGGACTACAACTCCCAGAATCTTCTAGCCAACATGAACAGTAGATGGGGAAAACCCAAAATTCCAGAAACAGCACTCCCAAAAGTAGCCACTATCTTGCCCCTTTAGACATCTGCCTGACACTTACACACATCAAAAGCTTGCAATAACAACGTTGCAATAACAAGGCTAATGTTCAGAACCCTTATGTATTTGAGGACTTCCAGTTCTAAGATGCCCAAGACAGAATAGAAGATGATAAGGGATTATGGGAGATGCCATTCATAACGTCTGCAGAACTAAAGTTCTCCTCTCCATCAATACTATACAGCTAACATGTGAACAGTATTATTCAGAAATCAATTAAGGCACATATAGAGAGAACAGAAAACTTCATTTTTTCAATGGTACTCTTACAGATAAGTTGCTTCTTGGAACAATTTAAATCTCATATACATCAACAAGCAGTCAAACAAGACTTATTTCCATTAAAGTGTGCAAAAGGACCTCATGCATTCAATAAAACCAGGTTATGCAACTGGTACAGACAACTGTTCATTCCTCTTGCACCCTGCAGGTCCGACTGGTCAATGAGAAGGCTTGGCTTCAGCTAATGGGAGAAAAAAATTAGTTTGAAATTATCAAACTTGAGAGCAGTATCATAAGAAATCCTTGCCTTTTCCATGCCTTAATCACTTCCAGATTGGACTACTGTAATGCATTCTACGTGGGGCTGCCCTTGAAAACGGCCCAGAAATTTCAATTGGTCCAACGGGCGGCGGCCCAGTTGTTAACTGGTGCTCCTTACAGAGAGAGGTCAACCCTCCTGTTTAAGGAGCTCCACTGGCTGCCATTCATTTTCCGGTCCCAATTCAAGGTGCAGGTGCTTACCTACAAAGCCCTAAATGGTTTGGGACCCACCTACCTGCGTGACCACATCTCTGTGTACGAACCCACATGATCTCTTCGTTCATCTGGAGAGGCCCTGCTCACGATCCCACCTGCATCACAAGCGCGATTGGTGGGGACGAGGGATAGGGCTTTCTCGGTGGTGGCCCCTCGACTCTGGAACTCTCTCCCTAAGGACATCAGGCAGGCCCCGTCGCTAGCAATCTTTAGGAGGAGCTTGAAAACGTGGTTGTTCCAGTGTGCCTTTCCAGAATAAGGAATCTCCTAGCATTATGTCCCAACGCACTTTATCAGAGATTCAGGTTATCTGCATGCCCATCCCCCTCCAAACGCCCCACCTTGTCATGCCCAGCACTTTTAATTTTAATTGTTACAATTGGCCTGGCCATTGTTTTTAATTGGGTGTTGTTAATTGTTATTGCTTTGTTTTTTGAGTTATTGTGTTGTTGTTGTTGCTGCTGTTTTATTGTTGTATTTGGGCTCGGCCTCTTGTAAGCCGCACCGAGTCCTTCGGGAGATGGTAGCAGGGTACAAATAAAGGTTTATTATTATTATTATTATTATTATTATTATTATTATTATTATTATTGGTGAGTCCTGGGTGGGAGCGGACAACTAGTTGGACTACAATCCCACAGTCCTTTGCCACTGCTATTGATGGCTATGGGTGATAGGAAATACAATTCCGTAACAACTGGAAGGCCACAACTCCCTAACACTGAACTAATATATAGCTGGAGTTACACTTGAATGCAGCCATATTCTAGTTTTTATAAGGTAATGTGGTAGAATATTTCAGAATTACACAATTATGGAGAGCCAGAGCTAGAAGCATTACATCTGCAGGGTATTTTAAGGACTCTGCTACTTTTGCCTGTTTAATTTAATCTGGCCATATTCTCCCAAGATTAAAAAGGACAGAGGCAGAGGATGAGAGTTAAATCCTACCTGATTCCATTCATATACGTTTGCATGCCACTTGGGAGGAATCACATTGCGAGGTTTTGATTTGCAGATCAAGCTAGAGAAAAACAAAGGAAGTGAGTAATTTATGAGGACTGATTTTTTTAAAATTTAAAATTCATTATATTCCTTGAGGACTATTTACTTTTTAACATCATTAATATTTAACTTTATTTTAATGTATATTTTTGTATATTTTTCAGGTTTTAAATCTCATTTGGTTTTAGTGTAAGCTGCTTTGAGTACCTTTTGTAGAGAGAGAATGCATGGTGCAAATAAACATCATCATCATCATTTGAAACAGAACAAGATGAGTCCACAGCAGACAAGATCACTCTGCTGGTTGTTGTATTGGATCACACGTCAGACACTTCCCAAGTGTCGAGGACTGTGTATTATTATTAATTATTTACAGTATTTATATTCTGCCCTTCTCACCCGGAAGGGGACTCAGAGCAGATCACAGAACACATATATGGCAAACATTCAATGCCGATTATACAATGACAAGACAGACAACACACACACACATATATATAGACTTTTCCCATCTTTCGGCACCTTGGAGGTTGTTGTTGTGATAGAGTCTGCTGGTAGTGATAGTAACACTAGTTGTATTAGGAGAGGCAGGAAAACTACTCACAAGCAAGACTATGATGAAGAGCAACAAAGGAAAAGAATCCAGGAGATACTTAGTGAGCCAACAGATGAGGATTCTTTTGAAGGTTTTGATGCAAATGATATGGATGATGGGATATCAGATTCTGGGTCTGTTGGGATGGATTGGACAAAGGTTCAAGAGATTCGAGATATTGGTGCTGAACCCACACGCAGTTTGAAGGTTGGAGTAGTGAATACATGGATGGGTCTTGGGGAACTTCAGGATTAGACCAGAGATGGACTACTTGGAGGAGTGGTGGAAGAGGCACAGCTGGGGATGGGTTGGGCCGAACTAGGGGCAACTCCAGTTCGGATGAGGAGCTGCAACAAGATGCAGCTGGGACAAGGGTGTTGGCTGAATCAAGTTCTGACGAGGACTTGTAGATAAAATGGGAGTGTTTGCAATTGTAACCTTGCAATCGGCAAGGAGTCTTGTTGGGCGCTTTCTGGATCTTTGTGTTTACAGAAGACGGGTCTGGAAGAAGATTTTGGGACGTAAGTTATGCTCTGGGTTTAAGCAGCAAAGGGGGCTGGAACTGTGTGGGTTTTTGCTGGACTGCACTGTTTTGATGTTTGCATTAGCTGCCATATTGCCCCGCTGCTTTGGCTCCTTGTGTTTATCCATCAGATTGGGATATGACCTTGCAGCTGTTCGTTTCCCTTTGGACTGGACCGGACTGGACTTCAACCACTGTCGTTACTCTCTCTCCTCCACGTCTGCGGCTGAGCTTCTGGAGCTGGCGTTATCAACCTTCCTGAATTCCTGCATACCAACCTTGGAGTCAGCGTGCTGTTCCTGCTGTGTTTGAGGCTCAGGTTACATTTTATAACCCTTGAAAGGCTGCTACTCATTAGTGTGGCAACAAACTTACTTCTACTGTTTATTTTGCTTCTGCTGTTTGATGGAACAAGTTTGAGCTGCATTTAAGCATTTTGAGTTTAATCCGAGTTATATCTCTGATTAATCCAGGTTATATTCTGTTTGGGGTTTTGTGGGTTCTTTTGCCTGATTGGGCTTTTTCACACTGAAAACTAAGTGTTTTTTGCCCTGTGGTTTTGTTTTGGGCTGTTTTGTGTTTGTTTGAACAATAAACTATACTTCTTTAATTGGCTGGCGTCTGACCTTAACAGTTGTGCTCAGTTACGGCCAATAATAATAATAATAATAATAATAATAATAATAATAATAATAATTAATATTATTATCCTTATTAAATACATAACAAGATTAGTACACAGCAAACAAGATCACTCTAAGTCTTTTGTATTTGATCACACGTCGGACACTTCCCAAGTGTCTAGGGAATAATACATGCAGATCAAAGTAGGGTGGCCTTTTGCAGCTGATCAATGGTAATTTTGTCTGCGCTGATTGTTTTTAAGTGCAGGCCAAGGTCTTTAGACACTGCACCCAGTGTGCTGATCACCACTGAGACCCCCTTGACTGCATTGTGCCAGAGTCTTTGCAGTTGTATCCTCATATTGTGTAAGTTTTTCCAGTTACTTCTCGTCAATCCTGCTGTCGCTTATTATTATTGACACAAAAACACAGTATGTCACAGTAAACGAGATATATATGCTGGATTTCATATCACAAAATCACAAGTTGAACATTTCCCAAGCATCTAGGACGGTGCGATGTATTTTCGAATGATGAGCGCAGATCCAAGTAAGGCGGCCTTTTGCAGCTGGTTGTTGTTGTTGTTATTTGAAAGCCAGTGTAGTATAGTAGTTTGAGTACTGGATTATGACTCTGGAAATCAGTGTTTTAATCCCTGCTCAACCATGGAGGCCCACTGGGTGACCTTGGGTGATTTCCGAATCTGTGATTTGCTTATTCACTGGAGTTTAGTTGTCATAACAAATCGCTCTGAACACAGAATTGAGTGGTTCCCCTTGGTTTTAAAAAAGCAACCTCCAACAGCCATTCCCCGCAAAGCAGTTTCAGAAGATGGAGGACCTTCTCACCAATGGAGAACCTTCTCACAGCAACACCAGAGGCACCCCAAGTGGCCAGCTACTGGTCAAAGGACATCTAGCACAATGCCAAGTTTTTAAACATTGTTTGTGTTTTAAATACATTTTAACTGTACCCTCAATTTGCTTCTAACACGATAAATAAATAAATACATTTCAGAAGACAACGATTGTCTGTACATTAGTGTCCAGCGAGAGAGAAGGGGTGTAACTTTTCCCCATCCCTATGCTGTGATCCAAAACACTTCAATCTTTCCAATGGACACCTGTAGATATATTGCATCCAAGGCAGTTTGGGAAATATTTCTTGCTGTTTTGGGTACTACAAGTTCTAGCATTGAGAAGTTCTCCAAAACAGGCCCGTTTCTCAGATAACTCAGTTCAAATGTGTTGGAGATATTCTCCAAAGACATGGGTGCCAGGGCCAGTCTGGTTCTGCTCTCTATGCTGCTAATAATCATGTGAGAAAGAACACTTCATGCCTCTACAACTAGCCTCTACAACTAAGAGTGTATCTCCACTGTAGAATTAATGCCATTTGAACCATTTTAATTGCCATGATTCAAAGCTATAGAATCCTGGGAGTTGTAGTTTTATAATGTATACTATTTAGCTTTCTTGGAGTCCTCGTGGACAGCAAGTTGAACATGAGCCAACAGTGTGATGTGGCAGCAAAAAAATCCAATGCGATTTTGGCCTGCATCAATAGGAGCATAGTGTCTAGATCTAGGGAAGTATTGCTACCCCTCTATTCTACCTTGGTCAGACCACACCTGGAATATTGTGTCCAATTCTGGGCACCACAATTCAAGAGAGATATTGACAAACTGGAATGTGTCCAGAGGAGGGCGACTAAAATGATCAAGGGTCTAGAGAACAAGCCCTATGAAGAGCGGCTTAAAGAGCTGGGCATGTTTAGCCTGAAGAAGAGAAGGATGAGAGGAGATATGATAGCCATGTATAAATATGTGAGAGGAAGCCACAGGGAGGAGGGAGCAAGCTTGTTTTCTGCTTCCTTGGAGACTAGGATGTGGAACAATGGCTTCCAACTACAAGAAAGGAGATTCCATCTGAACATGAGGAAGAACTTCCTGACTGTGAGAGCTGTTCAGCAGTGGAACTCTCTGCCCCGGGATGTGGTGGAGGCTCCTTCTTTGGAAGCTTTTAAACAGAAGCTGGATGGCCATCTGTCAGGGGTCCTTTGAATGCAATATTCCTGCTTCTTGGCAGGGGGTTGGACTGGATGGCCCATGAGGTCTCTTCCAACTCTATGATTCTATTATTCTCTGCCAAATAGCATCCCTGACAGATGGCCACCAAGCCTCTGCTTAAACACCTCCAGAGAAGGAGACTCCACCACTCTCCAAAGCAGCATGTTCCACTGCTAAACAGCACTTATCATCAGGAAGTCCGATCTAATGTTTAGGTGGAATCCTTATTCCTGCAATTTGGATCCATTGCTCTGTGTTCTAGTCTCTAGAGAAGCATAGAAAACATCTGCTTTCTTTTCAAATATTTAAAAATGGCTATCATGTCCTCCTCAGCTCTCTTTTCTGCAAGCTAAACATACCCAGCTCGCTCAGCCGCTCCTTATAGAGATTTGTAGTTTCCAAAACTTTGATAATTTTGGTCTCCCTTCTCTGGACACATTAAAGATTGTCAATAACCTTCTTGAATTGTGGTGCCCAGAACTGGGCATAGGATTTCTCCAGGTAAGGTCTGACCAAAGCAGAATAGAGTGGAACTATGACTCCACTTGATCTAGATCAGTGTTTCTCAACCTGGGGGTCGGGACCCCTGGAGGGGTCGCGAGAGGGTGTCAGAGGGTTCACCAAAGACCACCAAAAAACACAGTGTTTTCTGTTGGTCATGGAGGTTCTGTGTGGGAAGTTTGGCCCAATTCAATCGTTGGTAGGGTTCAGAATGCTCTTTGATTGTAGGTGAACTATAAATCCCAGCAACTACAACTCCCAAATGTCAAGGTCTATTTTCTCAAATTCCACTAGTGTTTACATTTTGGCATATTGAGAATTTGTGTCAAGTTTGGTTCAGATCCATCATTGTTTGAGTACACAGTGCTCTCTGGATGTAGGTAAACTACAACTCCCAAAAGTCAAGGTCAATGCCCACCAAACCCTTCCAGTATTTTCTGTTGGTCATGGGAGTTCTGTGTGCCAAGTTTGATTCAATTCCATTGTTGGTGGAGTTCAGAATGCGCTTTGATTGTAGGTGAACTATATATCCCAGCAACAACTCCCACAGGACAAAATCAATACCCTCCCCCAATCCCACCAGTATTCAAATTTGGGTGTTTTGGGTATTTGTGCCAAATTTGGTCCAGTGTATGAAAATACATCCTGCATATCAGAAATTTACATTACTATTAATAACAGCAGCAAAATGACAGTTATGAAGTAGCAACAAAACTAATTTTATGGTTGGGGGTCACCATAACAGGAGGAAGCGTATTAAGGGGTCATGGCATTAGGAAGGTTGAGAACCACTGATCTAGATATTATACTCCTATTGATGCAGTCTAGGATTGCGTTGGCTTTTTAGCTGGCGCATGACACAGTTGACTCATGTTCAGCTTGTGGTCTACGAAGACTCCTAAATCCCTTTCATGTCTACTGTTTTCAAGACAAGCGTCAGCCATTCTATATCTGCGAATTTCATTCTTATTGCCAAAGTGCAGTACCATACATTTCTTCCTGTTGAAATTTGTTTTGTTAGTTTTGGTTATCTTTGATGTTGATTACTTTGCTCTGATCCTATGTGGAGGGAGGACATCTCTCTCTTTCTGTTTCTCTTTTTCTGTCTCTATCTCTATCTCCTACTCTTTCTTGTAAACATACACACAAAATAATGGCAGCCCTAAGAGAACCTAAAAGTATCATTATGTATTCAGGGCAATTCATGCATCTACAATTCATGCAAGTTAATTGTATTTACCATGTGTCATCACTGCTTAAGAAGGAACCGTGTATTTGAATAACATGTCTAGACTGAATGAATTAAAATACATCACTGCCGTACTTTGCACGGCTCTGGAAGACAAGAGTTGGCAGGCAGGGAGTCTGTGGTAATCGCGTTGTCACACATGACAAAAGCTTCTAAAAATAGCTAGGATTATCTCAACAGATGAGCACCGGAGCATACATGCATGTACAATCCAACGTTAACACTGAGATGAATTTACATTATGATGTTTTAAATGCTTGTCTTGTCAAATAGTTCTGAATAAATGAGTCCAGTCAGTGTTGGATTATTGAGGGAGATGGCGTGGTAGACCTGTCCTTCTCCCATTAGCTACTGTCTTAATGTTATTGGGTGAGTGGCATTGGCTACACTTGGGGGGTAACTGGAAGCTACTATGGAAGGCTAGCTGACTCGCATTGGACCCCTAGGAAACCTTACTCATCACATATTACACCCCATTACAACAACCCCAAATATCTTCACAGGACATGGGACTCATTTTCACTATATTTTTGGACCCAGGAGAAGCCTTTTTTAACAATAGGAAATGATCAGAAGTCACTTCCTTTTCATATCCTAAATGCATGGGGTGATATGATGAAAATGCTCCTACACACCCCCTTAGAGCAGTGGTTCTCAACCTTCCAAATGCCGCAATTCCTTAACACAGTTCCTCATACTGTGGTGACCCCCAACCATAAAACTGTTTTTGCTGCTACTTCATAGCTGTAATTTTGCTACTGTTATGAATTGTCATGTAAATATCTGACATGCATGATTCAATTGATCCAAATTTTGCACAAATACCCCAAACGCCCAAATTTGAATACTGGTGGAGTTGGGGGGAATTTATTTTGTCATTTGGGAGTTGTAGTTGCTGGGATTTATAGTTCGCCTATAATCAAAGAGCATTCTGAACTCCACCAATGATGGAATTGAACCAAACTTGGTACACAGAACTCCCATGACCAACAGATAATACTGGAAGGGTTGGTGGGCAATGACCTTGGGTTTTGGAGTTGTAGTTCACTGACATACAGAGAGCAAGCACTGTGGACTCAAACAACAAGCGGGTGGAGTAAGATTCAGGTTCAGTGTAGGAAAGCAATCATAAGCCATTTTTTTATGTTTACCAATTCTTGTAGGTTTAACACCCAACTAGGGCTATAGATTTGGTAGTAAGATTTTTATCACAACACAGGTGAAGGGAATAGCCCAACTATCAGATGACATACAGATAAACTTAAATTAAAATGACAACAATTTTAACGAAAGAGAGGATAATAAATAATTTACCCTAGCAGCTTTTCTCGCGCAGCCTGCTGTAACTGGGAAATTCTCACTTGACCAAAATGCAGCAGGCCGTTTGGACCGTCGCTGACTAATTTGTTAATGGCCATTCTTAGAATATTTATCTGTGAAAAAAAAATAATTTTGGTCAATGGCACAGACACTTATTTTATTTTTAAAATTAGTAAAAATACAATGTACGAGTTACTAATCTAATGTCAAATAATCCATCTGATTAAATGCAAAAAGAGTAAATTAATTGATTTAGCCATGATATAAGAAAACTTCTTACTACACTCAGTTTCCACATTTGCTGTAGGGTGGGTACAAGACCACCATAAAAATTAAGAACATGAATAAAGGAATTGCAATTTTTTTCCATGAGTTAAATTCCACTGCAAACTGGATACACAGAATCACATTTGAAGGTGTTATCTCTAGAAAACTCAAGATCCTCCAGCATTAATGGAGGAACGGTTCTGGCCCAACTTACCTGTCCGAACGTATCTCCCTTTACGAACCACTGAGGAATTTAAGATCATCTGGGGAGGCCCTGCTCTCRGTCCCGCCTTCGTCACAAGCACATTTGGCGGGGATGAGAGACAGGGCCTTCYCAGTGGTGGCCCCTTGGCTATGGAATGCCCTCCCTAGGGAGATCAGATYTGCTCCCTCCCTTTTGATGTTTCGGAGGCAAGTTAAAACGTGGCTATTCGAGCAAGCATTTACAAATGCAGAGTAGCTAATATAGGAAATCGAATGACTTGACAATGGAACTGGACAATGCTTGAGAATAATGAGACGCTGATGATGTTGTTTTTGTGATTGCTTTTGTGATGTCTTATACTGTTTAAGGTTTTTTTWATCTATATTATGTTTTATGTATACGGTTTTGTTGGAAACCGCCTTGAGTCRCCAATTGGCTGAGAAAGGCGGTATACAAATASAGTAAATAAATAATAAATAAATAAATAAGCTGACCACAGAGTAACACTAGAGGACGTAGAAATTCCTACAGAGAACATTTTTAATCAAGTGGGTGAATAATCTGCAAAAATCAAAATTGCAAAAGAGTAAAAGTGAAAGTGGTAAATTTATTTATTTATTTATTTATTTATTTATTTAAAACATTTATATTCCGCCCTTCTCTCCCAGAAGGGGACTCAGGGCGGAGCATGGCAAACATACATAAACATTAAGAACATTTATCTCATTACAAGACATTTTTAAATACACTGACCAATAATATGACCAAGACATTTTTAAATACACTGTTTAAACATGTCTTGGTCATCTGCATCAAATTTAAATGTGGAGAGATGACTCTCCACAGATTCAGTTCCAAGAAACCTAGGGCCATACATCAAAAGGCATTCCAATTATTTGCTCATGTAAAATCTGAAGCAGTCATGCATGTTTTACCTGAGTCATGTCTTCCGTGTCAATCTCCACATCGAATGACAGCTCCATGTCATGGTCCTGGAAAACTGGGGTCCCCAGAGAACGATTCCATCCCAAACCACAAAGGACACCAGTATACCTTGTTTGTTTTTCATCCGTTCTAAAAAGTCCCAGAATGTGTAAGGAAAAAGCACAGTGATTTCTGATGGCATCGCCAGACACTGACTCTATACAAACAACAGTGTCTTGGATCCAAAGTGAGTTCAGAGGGCAACAGAAAAGATCAGCGAAAATTGCTTCTTCCCCCTATATAGGGAGGGGTACTTACCGTATCTACTCAAGTATAAGCTGACCCAAATATATGCTGAGACATCTAATTTTACATTAATTGAGGCATCAGTAGGTTAAATGTTTTTGAAGATTTACATAAAACTGTAATTTAAGACAAGGCTATCCAACTCTGATCAAACCATTATTCTAACCTTCCTCAATGTAAATGTGGTTACGTATCCTTCCAATAGTAATAGAGTAAAATAATCAATGCAACAAATATAATAATAATAGAGTAAAATAATGGAAATGTAAAAATAACAGTAACATTTTATTTATTTTTTTTATTTAAAAAAAATTATATCCTAATCTTCTCAACCTCTGTAGAGGGACTCAGACTGGCTATAAATAAATAAATAAATAAATAAATAAATAAATAAATAAATAAATAAATAAAGAATGGAAATGTAAAAATAACAGTAATAATAGAGTAAAATAATAAATGTAATACTAATAATAGAGTAAAATAAATGTAATAACAATAATAAATAGAGTAAAATAATAAAGGTAATAAATAGAGAAAAATCATAAATGTAACAAAAATAATAGAGTAAAATAATGTAAATTTATTTTTTTTGTTGTGTCAGGAGCGTAGCTTGTTGTGAGAGAATTGGCCGTTTACAAGGACGTTGCCCAGGGGACACCCGGATTATTTGATGTTTTATCATTCTTGTGGGAGGCTTCTCTCATGTCCCCACATGAGGAGCTGGAGCTGATAGAGGGAGCTCATCCGCCTCTCCCCGGATTTGAACCTGCACTTCAGTCCTGCCGGCACAGGGGTTTAACCCACTGCGCCATCGGGGGCTCTAATTTAATAATAATAATAATAAATAGAGTAAAATAATAAATGTAATTGTTGCAACTCAGGGTAGGCTTCACCTTGCTTCCAAATACCACCACACAAGAGCTGTAGTTTTATAGTTTATTGAGGAAACAATCCAAGTCAAAATAAAGAGTAAGCATTGCAAAGTTCCAAAGATTAAGGTTAAATGCAGGATACAGTTCCAAAGATCTTCAGGTAAAAGCAGGAGACATAATCCTATTGGCAAAGTTCAAACCAGAGTGCCAGGAACAAGCAAGGAAACATTTGCCCCAAGAATCCCAATGCAAGAAGTCTGAAGTGTCCCGCTTTAGGCTAAGATTATTCCATGAAGCTTTCAGGCTAATAAGCTACGTTGAACTGACAGTTTCGCTTCCTTTGTGAGAAGCCTAAATAGCGTTTTCTAATCATGAAAACATCCTGCTCTCACAGTGGTCCCATGACCTGGCCTCTCGTCTACAGATCAAGGCCTTCCCTATCAGTGTGGGAAGACACCTGGGTGCTAGCTCCCTTATTGGCATTCCTTTCCTGTGAGAACCGCTTGCTTGAATCTCCCCTGTCTGTGAGAACCTCGAGCCGAGGCACAGAAAAACAGCCAGGAATCTGAATCCCATCACTCTCATCACACTGAGCCACAACAGTAATAATAATAACAGACTAAAATAATAAATAAACTTGACTCGAGTATAAGCTGAGGGGGGCTTTTTCAAACTAAAAAAGGGTTGGAAGAACTCAGCTTATAATCAAGTATATATGGTATTTCATTAATTAGCATACTGAAATAAATGTATCTCAAAGAGCTGTATTATATCAGAGATGTACTGAATACTGCTGAATAAAAAAGATGGTAGTAAGCCAACTTCAACGGGGGGACGGGGACAGCACACTGAGAGAAAAAAAATGGGTTTTTTGGTGGATTTTGTGTTGACCTTTTGGTCGAAAAGGTGGGTTGTCAAAAAGCTGCATATAGGGACATGAAATGGGAAAACTGCAGAAGCAATGCTTCATATTCTGTTAAGGAGAGGATAAAGCAGCATAAGGCATTTTGTTAAAATTGACTGCAACTGTTAAGAAAGCGAGCACTTACCTGAGCTCTATAACTGGAGCAAAGAGCATGGCAAGCAGTGCTGGGAGGCCTGGGATGTGCGGCATAAGAGACGTCTCCCTCAGTAACATTGTGGTTCCTGTTGTCATTTAAAAAAATATATTCTGACTTTTACAAAATGCAGACTTTCGTAGAACAGAAGCTGCAATATTAAACAGAATTTTGTAATGGAGGCATAAGCCAATCATGTTAGAATAGTGCGGTAGTCACCTGATGCATTTATTGATACAGACGAAGCAACCAAGATCTGTTGGAATGTATTCTCAGGAGCATCAGCAACAACAACAGAGTTTACACTCTCTCTCATGACCAAAACGGTTCTAGGAAAGGACGGGAAAGAAGAATCATATTTTACAATTCATTGGGGCAAGAGTTTTTCTGAGAATTCCCTTCAGAAAAGAGAAAAAAAAATTAAAGCAGCAATGTTTCATTCACTAACTGGTCAAAACCACTCTATTAAAAAACTATCAGTGATGAAGAATTGAGTATCAGGTTAAGAAAAACTTGTCCCAAGGGGCCCTCTTCTCTGTTAGGAGAAGTACACAAAATGGGTTGTGCTTGACCAGACACGGGCAAACTTTCTAACTTGGGGGCCACATGATAGCACTCCCTGCTAGGAGAACTGGGAGGAAGGATGAAAGGGAAGAAGAGAAGGATGGAAGGAAAAAGAGGGAAAGAGGGAAGAAAAAGGGAAGAAAAGACAAGGGAAGGAAGGATGGAAGGATAGAAGGGATGGATGGATGGATGGATGGATGGATGGATGGATGGATGGATGGATGGGAGGGAAGGAGGGAGGGAAGGAAGGAAGGAAGGAAGGAAGGAAGGAAGGAAAGAAAAAGAGAATGAAGAAAGGGAGGAAGATAAGGATGGGAGGAAGGAAGGGCAAGATAAAGGAAAGAGAGGAGGGAGGGAGGAAGGAGAAAGATGGAGAGAGGGAGGAAAGAGGGAAGGAAAGATGAAAAGGTGGAAGGGCAGGAAGGAAGGAGAATGAGGGAGGGAAGGGAGGAAGGTGAGGAAAGAAAGAGAAGGAAGGAAAAACAAAAGGGACTGGGGAGGGAAGGACAAAAGGGTGGAAGGGAAGGATGGAAGGAAATAGAGAATGAAGGAAAGACAAAACGGACGGACGGACGGACGGACGGACGGAAGGAAGGAAGGAAGGAAGGAAGGAAGGAAGGAAGGAGAAAGAGAGAGGTAAGGAAGGGAGAGAGGGAGAGAAGAAGGAAGGAAAGAGAAGAAAGAAGGAAGGAAAGAGGAAAGAAGGCTAAAAGGATGGAAGGAAAAGTGAAAGAGAAAGGGAAGGAGAAAGGAAGGAAAGAGAGAAGGAAGGAAGGATAGGCTGGTGAGAGAGAGGAGGTCCTGAGAAAAGAGCCCAAGGGTCCGCATCTGGCCCCCAGGCCTGGGTTTGCTTGACGCACTGATACCTATGCTTGACGCACTGATACCAGTTTGAAACCACTTTGGATTTCCAGTTCACTGCATGACTTAGAATTTTTTGTAGAAGATTACTAGTATACTTTCCAGACTACAGCACTAGAACTCTCTAGCCTGGAATCCTTCGTACCTCTCCAAATGTCATCTTATTATGTGCCTTCAAGTTGCTTCCAACTTATGGCGACCTAGGGCAAACCTATCATGGAGTTTTCTTGGCAAGATTTGTTCTGAGTTGTTCGTCTTTACCCTCCTCTGAAGCCGAGAGAATGTAGCCCAGTAAGGATTCAAATTTTGGTCTCCAAAATCATTGTTCAATACCCAGCCCATACTGCTGCTCAACCTCACCAAACCAGAAATCCCAGGTTTCTCACAGATTGAAACCATAGCAGTTAAAGTGGTATGAAACTATTACAAGTAAACAAGTGCAGACTAACCCATAAGTGGAGATACTGAGAGCAATTTGATTGTGCAATGCCTTCCTGCAAAAGGCCAAACTGCCTCCTGTGATTTCAGCACCAAGTCAAGAAAAAAAATGGCAATTCACCCAAGGTTTTGGAGGTCAAGTGATCATATTTCTTTGACTGACGTTTTTGTTTTTAATTCTGCTGAATGATTTTTAGTTGTTTAAATTGGTTTTGAAACTGCTTTTAGAGGCTTACAATGATGACATAGTGTTGTGAGATATCTAACACAAGCTGGAGTAACTAATAAATCTTCTCTTAACTTTCCAACGAACGAGAGAAAGAAGTAAACCTGTCAAGATTGTGCTGACGACACTTCAAAAAGCACAAGAACACTGTCAGAACACAAGGTTTTCCTTCCCTAGACATGTTGTTTTTGTTGGAATTCAACCCCACACTGTCCAAGTCTCAAGTGCTCAACAAGGAGTAGTTAGTTAGTTTAGTATAGAGTAAGAGTTACCCTTCCCACATGTCTCCTGTATGACAGTTGGGAATGTATCTATTTCTTCTCTCCTCTATGTTTCTGTTCTCATTCTGATTGGTTGTGTACTGCAAGCCCTTTTAAATCTTATTTCTGCTTCTTACATCAGTGTATGTGCTGTTTGCTTTGACATCTGTCTCTGCATGTGTGTCAGAGACATGTAGTGGTTGGTGTTTTTCCCCTCCCTTTGAAACCTTAGATGAGATGGGTGTTAGAGTAGCTCATACCCAGTTCTTGATTACTAAGAAATGCAATTATTCCTTGTTGTTGTTCATTCGTTCAGTCGCCTCCGACTCTTCGTGACCTCATGGACCAGCCCACACCAGAGCTCCCTGTCGGCCGTCACCACCCCCAGCTCCTTCAAGGTCAGTTCAGTCACTTCAAGGATGCCATCCATCCATCTTGCCCTTGGTCGGCCCCTCTTCCTTTTGCCTTCCACTTTCCCCAGCATAATTGTCTTCTCTAGGCTTTCCTGTCTCCTCATGATGTGGCCAAAGTACTTCAACTTTGTCTCTAGTATCCTTCCCTCCAATGAGCAGTCGGGCTTTATTTCCTGGAGGATGGATTGGTTGGATCTTCTCGCAGTCCAAGGCACTCTCAGCACTTTCCTCCATTATTCCTTACTATTGTAAATAAACCTTTTGTGATTGTTAAGATTGGACTCTCCATGTTTGCCTCCTAAGCTCTGAATTCTTTACAGCCACATCACATGGCACTTCACGCTCTGCATACTCCGAACTGATGCTCAACTTTAAGTATCCTGTTTGATTTTTGGATGCTCTGCTGCATTTTAGAGTAGTTTTCCCTAACAGTATTTTGTGTGCTTTGCACTGGATTAGGTTGGGTTATTAGGCAGTAAACATGGGTTTAATTTGAAATCTGACAGCCAAAGAATATGCCTCTGAGGAATTCCACTATGTAAGGGGAAACAGGTAAATCATGGGAAATATATGTCTAGCTTGACAACATATATCTTTCATTGTTGCTCATGAAGAACCATCCTACCTGAACCTGGAGACTCTGGTCATACTGCTGAACTTCAAAATGTAAGGGTTGAAAGGGCCAATTAGTCTTGCCTTTATGGAGAAAAACAAGGTATCATCATTATTATACTAGTGCATTCCATGTTCGCTGCACAGATGTAGTTGTAGTAAGTCATTTATAGGGATGCTGGACAATACTGAGCCCAGCAGAACCTCTACACCCCACTATTGACTTCTCTTGAGACTCATCAGAAGGAAAAGAGAAAGATCTGTTGCCCAAACCTAGGGATGCTGGACAATACTGAGCCCAGCAGAACCTCTACACCCCACTATTGACTTCTCTTGAGACTCATCAGAAGGAAAAGAGAAAGATCTGTTGCCCAAACCTTTGGCTTTTCATTCACACACCACTAGACTGTGTTTCAAGTAAACAGTGAGGTACGCCTTACATCTAAGGGGCACACAAAGTGTCAAGGAAAGGGGTGACTGAAGCAATGGGAAAATTTGGAGAGGGATCCAGTGGGCCAGTTCCATCTTGTCTCCTGCATATGTCTTCAGTTGGGGACCCTTCCCCCCAACACCAACTGCCGCTCTGGGACAGAGTGAAGAGAGAGGGGGCCAGGGGACAGTTCCATCTTATCTCCTGCATATGTCATCAGTTGGGGACCCCTCCCCCCAACACTAACTGCCACTCTCGGCCAGAGTGAAGAGAGAGGGGGCCAGGAGACAGTTCCATCTTGTCTCCTGCTTATGTCATCAGCTGGGGATCTCTCCTCTAGGACCAACTGCTGCTCTGGGATAGATTGAAGAGAGAGGGGGCCAGGAGACAGTTCCATCTTGTCTCCTGCTTATGTCATCAGCTGGGGATCTCTCCCCCCTAGGACCAACTGCTGCTCTGGGACAGAGGGAAGAGAGAGGGGGCCAGGGGACAGTTCCATCTTGTCTCCTGCATATGTCATCAATTGGGGACCCATCCCACGAGCACTAAATGCCGCTCTGGACCAGAGTGAAGAGAGAGAGAGTGAAGAGAATAGCACCTTTTCTCCTGTACTATTCCAATAATATAATATAATATAATATAATATAATATAATATAATATAATATAATATAATATATTGTATATACATATAATATTTACAATGTTATAACGTAATGCAATATAATACTAATAATAACATGGTGTACTACAATACAATGGTATAGTATAATATAGTAATATTTGATCCTGATATTGTACTATGCTAATAATATAATATAGTGTGTGTGTGTGTGTGTGTGTGTGTGTGTGTATATCTTGTAAGCCGCTCTGAGTCCCCTTCAGGGTGAGAAGGGCAGCATATAAATGTCATAAATAAATAAATTCATAATATGCACACTTATTTATGCTATCAATGAATATTTCAGGCTCCTAGCCCTCTGCATAAATGCAAAAAAAAATTATTTCACCACAAAGCTGTACCTGAAATAGGCACTTTGAGACAAAGGCAAGCGAGTCTTCATGATGATCATCAACACTGATTTATATCTATCCTTTTATTTACAAATGCTGGGATTCAAAGCAATATGCAAAATTGAAAACAGATACATGCAAAAGAGATATAGGTAAAAGCATACCAATTAAAACAAACTAAGTGAAAAGAATTAGGAAAATGCAAACATATCCAATAAGAAGGCACGAAATAAGACAGTGCTCCACTCTATAACAAGGAAGGTCCATATAAGAAGGTACTTCCTTCTCTCAAAACCCTGTGAGAACAATAAGGCTTTGAATGCTGCAGAAGAGGCCTTTGCTACCCCTTGTCTCCATCCCACAAGTCTATGAAAGCACCTGCTTTCAATGTCGAACGATGATGCAGTGTTATTAACCAACATGATGAAAAAAAACCAGTATTTTATTCTTCAAGAACTCAACAACATGCTGCTCTGAAAGACTCTCAGGAGTGAAGCGGGAATAAAATGGTCAATTCTTTTAAGCTTACCTTACATTTTGGAGTCCCAAACCGATTGGCAGAGCAGCTCTCCAGCAACATTTGAATGATGCGGTTTTCTTCTTTAGAGCTGTTCCGGATAAATGAAGATCCATTCTTCCTGTTTGCTTCTGGGTTTGAAAACACCAACTTGAGGTTTTCATTGCTTTGCTAAGAGAGAGAGAGAGAAAAGGTTGAGTTGGGGACTTTTATTGACAGGGAGGGGAAAGTGTGGCACATTTTGTTCCAGATGCACTCCATATTTTCAGAAAAAGAAAACCCCTACCAAAATATGTCATCCCCACCCCCCCCCACCCCAAAAAAAAGATGTGGTGGCTGGGGTTTTCTTTTTCTCCCACTTCTGTAGAGTCTGCTAGATGAGACAAGTAGATCCCACACTTACCAGTCCAAAAGTATTTGCTCCCATGAACCATCTCAGAGATTAACACTGTCCGGGGAGGCCCTGCTCTCAATCCCACCCCTTTTGTTTGTTTGTTTTGTTAAAAATGTAATATAACTGTCTGGTTTCTCCTGACATGATAAATAAATATCTAACAAACTAACTCTGTTGTCATGTTTTACTTATCACCAAGGGCCCCCTAGTGGTGCAGCAGGTTAAACTGCTGAGCTGTTGAACTTGCTGACCAAAAGGTTGGTGGTTCTAATCCAGGCAGCAGGGTGAGGTCCTGCTGTTAGCCCCAGCTTCTGCCAACCTAGCAGTTCGAAAACAGGCAAATATGAGATCAATTGGTACTGCTTCTGCAGGAAGGTAACAGCACTCCATGCAGTCATGCTGGCCACATGACCTTGGAGGTGTCTACTGAAAATGTCATCTCTTCAGCTTAGAAATGGAAATGAGCACCACCACCCGGAGCCAGACACAACTAGACTTAATGTCAGGAGAAAGCTTTACCTTTTACTATCATCAAAGACACTCCAGCTTCCAAACTGAGTTCCTCGAATATCATTGTCATTACTTTTCTGCACTTCATTCTCGACTTCCTTATAATAATTATTTCACTTATTACTGAGATAGTTTGAACAAATGTTTTCAAACAGTTTTGGCATGATATGCTCACTACGGAAACATTTCTGTGCTGCCTGCAAGATATTTCTACAACTTGAGGCATTCAGCTCTGGCCCTGGAGACACTAAGCATGCTCAGTCTGAGGAGGAAGACTGCTCCAAATCAGGCCTCCATGTCCTCTTATAACCAATTTTCTCAAATACTATTCTGAATTGAATGTTCCCTTAAGCCCCTTCTTCATCTTTTCAGAGCCCGCAGGCTGGTGGCTATCTGAGATATTCTAACATATTTCACTACATCCCCTGAGCTGCTGATATGTCTGATTTGCTCCTTCGTTATCTCGAATGCTAGCATCTATCAATGATAAATTGGAAGACACTGAGCACATTCAGCTGGAGGCAAATTGCTCCCAAGCAGTCCACTACCTTAGAGCTGTGGTTTTCAAAATGGTGCTCGGAGCTGACAGGGACAGATATCACTGCTTCTGCAATCTGGCTCTACACTCTACACAGCCAATGCCTTGGAGTTGCCTTTCTGTCCTTATTTTCTCCTTGTTATTTACATTTACTAACATCCTTGCCATATACATTTGTCAGAGAAGGCCAAACATTGTGGGTTGGTTAGGCAGAATAGAATAAAAACTGTTGGAGAAAAGCAAAGAACTAAATGGCTGAACTGAAAAAGATTCATGGGCCGGGCTTTAGCACAGCATGTTAATCACCAAGATGCAATAAATCTTGCCAACCAGAAGGTTGACAGTTCAAAGCCCAGGTAAGGGTGAGCCCCTGATCTTTAGCCTAGCTTCTGCTAAGCTAGCAGTTTGAAAACAAATGTAAGTACATAAATAAGAACCACATTAAAGCGAGGAAGTATTTAGTTATGGAAAAGAGAGGGAAGTTTACAAACAAAGAAAGCTCTTCGACAGGGAAATGGAGTGACAGTGTCCCCCTGTGGCCGGAACCGAACACAGCCTCCAATGATGCCGAAAGATGGGAAAGCCTATATATAACTTTTCTGTTGTCTGTCTTGTCATTGTATAATTGGCATTGAATGTTTGCCATATATGTATGGATCGATTTATTTATTTATTTACAGCATTTGTAGCCCACTTTCCCAGCCTTACGGCAACTCAAGGCGGCTCACAGAATTGGCAGAATTTGATGCCATAGATTCATAAAAATACAGTTAAAAACATTTAAGCTAACTGGGTTGTTGTAGGTTTTTCCGGGCTATATGGCCATGTCTAGCTTGCCATAGATGCAGGCGAAACGTCAGGAGAGAATGCCTCTAGACCTTGGCCATATAGCCCGAAAAACCTACAACAACCCAGTGATTCCGGCCATGAAAGCCTTCGACAATACATTAACCTAACATTATAAAAACCATATAAAACAATTAAAAACGTATCACCAGTGTAGTCCTGTTAAAATCATCCACCACCATCATCTAGCCCAGGGGTCCTCAAACCTTTTAAACAGAGGGCCAGGTCACAATCCCTCAAACTGTTGGACGGCTGGATTGTAATTTGGAAAAAAAACATGAATGAATTCCTATGGACACTGCACATATCTTATTTGTAGTGCAAAAAAACCTTTAAAACAATACAATAATTAAAATGAAGAACAGTTTTAACCAATATAAACTTATTAATATTTCAATGGGAAGTGTGGGCCTGCTTTTGGCTGATGAGATTGGATTGTTGTTGTTGTGTGCTTTCAAGTCGTTTCAGACTTAGGTTGACCCTGAGCGAGGGCCGGGTAAATGACCTTGGAGGGCTGTATCCGGCCCCCGGGCCTTAGTTTGAGGACCCCTGATCTAGCCATTCCGTGATCGTTCTTCGTATTTCATAATTATTTATTCCGCTGCCACGTTTTTACTCTTTTTTTTTTAAGTCAGGAGGGGGCCAATATAATATCCCTAGGAAGGGAGTTCAACAGCCGAGGGGCCACCACTGAGAAGGCCCTGCACCTGCGAAGAAGGCAGAACCGAGAGCACGGCCTCCCCAGACAATCTTAGAGTCCTAGATGGTTCATTAGGAGAGATACGTTCAGACAGGTAAGCTGGGCTGGAACGTGTTCTGTGATCTACCCTTTGGAATGAGAAGGGCGGAATATAAATACTGTAAATAAATAAATAAATCCTGCCATTCCAGTTAGAATGAAGAATGGTTAAGCCTAATCATAGTGGATTGGTCCTCCTTCCCATACCAAGAATGAATTTAACTGCTGAAAAGTGAAAAGCATAAACTGAAAGCAGTTGGTTCACCACCACCACCCCCTCCCCAAATTGTTTTCAAAGCTCCAAGCTTGCTTCTACTCCATTTTCACAAACAGAGGACACAAACGTACAACTGATTCGTAGGAATCCTCTGCCAGCTCGGCATGACATTCTTGGATAAGTACGTCGCGGATGTTGACGATCTCCATTCTTTCAGAGTATCGAAGTACGTCGACATGCAAGATGCTGTGCACAATCGAGAAGACCTTCACCATGAGGGCACTGCCATTGACTAAAGTGGCAAACCTTTTACTTGCAGCAGAACTCCACTGCTCTCCGCAGATCAGGGAATGTGCTGAGGGTCGCATTCTGCGCACTTTGAATTCCAGAGCCTAAGCAGAAATAGAACACATCAGAAGAGGCAGGCTGGAAAGTGAACACCTGAAGATCTTGAGATGTTTGATGTACCAGCCCACCCGCCTACTATTGCACCAACAGGCAGTATGTTTAGAGCAAACCCTACCTGGAAAGGAAGTTCTCGAAGATGACTTGGGATCTCCCGTAAGAGGTTCAAAGCCACTTTTGACCTGTTGCCATAATCAACATAGAAAATCTGCATGATAAAAACAACAGTGGTTTCAAGAGACTAATATTCTTTCAGGAGACTCAATGTGTAGCGTACAAATCCTGTAAAGTGACCACACGCAAATGGTTATAGAGAACCACTAAGATTTTCTGTAAGACAAGGAACATGCTCAAAAAGAGCATTTCTATCTATTAGAGCCAATGTTTGTATGAGAGATTATTTGGGACTACAACTTGACTAGGGGAACCTGGGAGCTGAGGTCCAATAAGCCAGTTTCCTAAGGTCCTATTTTTGGTTTATTTATTAGTCCTATTTATACCCCGTCTTTTTCTACCACAAAGGGTAGAGGCCTTAATGCCTTAAAACACATACAATTCCAGTAAAATTAAAATTAAATTGAAATTAATACATATTAAGCATTTAAACAATTAAAAACATTACATTCGATATAATATCACACTATCCATAATTGTAGTCCAAAGACATTCCACAGTCATTGCACATATTCCAAATCTGTTATTGCACTGAACTATTCTTCAAAAGCCTGATCCCAAAGCCAAGTTTTTACTTTCCTTCAGATGGGGGCTTTTTTTGCGTGTGTCAGGAGCAATTTGAGAAACTGCAAGTCGCTTCTGGTGTGAGAGAATTATTGAGAGAACATGGTGACATGTGCTAAGCACACCTGCTCTCCCTTCCCTACTTGGGAGTCTCAGAAACAGCCCTCCTCTTGGCTGAGAGGCCGCCCAATAACAGCGGAGGAGGGCTTTTGGAGGGAGGATTCACCGTCTGTTTCCAAAAAGGAAGAGGACAGGTGGACCATTACAAATTTATATTTTCTGATGCTCTTGGCGAGCCCTCTGAAACCCCCTCGTGACACCACCACCCCCCAGGCTCCCAACCCCCAGGTTGAGAAACGCTAATGTAAACTGATACTCTTCGTTTCTCCACCTCATCTTCATTCCATGAGTCTCTTCTCAATCTTTCATGGTGTAGCTAGGTTAGATCAACATGATGAATTGCTATCCTATGTTAGAATGGAGTTCCTATACTAAAGTTTAGCTTCTTTCTCAAACTCATTTTCATGTTTGCTCCTCAAATCAAGATCTCCTACCATGGCATGACTCTAATAACACACACATACTTCAATGTGATGTTGTTTTTAAGCTTACCTCTGCATTCTCACCAGAAACATACAGGATTTGAGCTCGGTAGTATCTCTTATCCTCCCAATCTGTAAACGGCGCCAAACAAACCAAATCCGGATGAGGACGAACTGGCAAAGGGGTCAGTTTCAGCTGATTGATCTCAGCACACAAACTTTTTAACATTTCCATGCTTATATCATCTATTCTGTAACCCCAGAAGTGTCCAACCTCTACCACCTAAAAGATAAATAGCATTTTTTTTACCATTTCCATGCTCTGACATGAGTTTTGTTTGTCTATATAATCTTTTAATACCTTTGTCTATAAAGTCTTTTAATACCTACCTCCAAATACCTCTACATATTACCTGTCAAGTTCAGTACTTTTAAATTTTGTCTATTACATTTGGCCCGATCTTTAGGTTTTAATTGTGTCACGGTGTCATCGTTTTACTGTTTTATTGTTTTGCTTGATGTTCATTATTTGCTTATGAGTTTTATTGTGTATTGTATGTTGTTGTCAGCGGCCTTGGCCTTTGTAAGCCACATCGAGTCCTTCGGGAGATTTTGCGGGGTATAAATAAAGTTAATAATAATAATAATAATAATAATAATAATAATAATAATAATAAAAACCATGTATTGTAATATTTGGATCTTGTATTATTTTAAAGATAATGTTATCTGTATTAAGTCTTATTATAGAGAGAAAAGTGGGATATAAATGTATAAAATAATTATGTATTCTTCAACATCGACTTTTAAATGTTGCAGGTAGAAAATTGCATTTATAAATGTCTCCTTTAGCTTCAAAAAGAAAAACACACTGCAGTTTTTGAGACCAAGTTATGTTGTGGATTAATTTGCTTATCTGTATTCCTCACACATTTGACATAAACAAAGGCATTATTGGGTTGCTGTGAGTTTTTCGAGCTGTATGGCCATGTTCCAGAAGCATTCTCTCCTGATGTTTCGCCTGCCTCTATGGCAGGCATCCTCAGAGGTTGTGAGGCCTGTTGGAAACTATGAAGTGGGGGTTATATATCTGTGAAATGCCCAGGGTGGGAGAAAGAACTCTGGTCTGTTTGAGGCAAGTGTGAATGTTGCAACTGGCCACCTTGATTAACATTGAAGGTTTTGGGGCCAAAATTGTGAATTTAGATATAACCCAGGTGTAAGCTGAGGTTCTTTCTGCGAAGAGGAGGAAAACACCAATGTCCCTGCCATTTCCCCACCCATGCATTCAAAAAAGGCCGTAAGTAGTAATGCGGCTTTGTATTTCTAGGTGCAAAGATTACTGCAGATGCAGACTGTGGCCAGGAAAATCAGAAGACGCTTACTTCTTGGGAAGAGAGCAATGTCCAGTCTCGATAAAATAGTAAAGAGTAGAGACATCACACTGGCAACAAAGATCCGCCTAGTCAAAGCCATGGTATTCCCTGTAGTAACCTACGGATGTGAGAGCTGGACCTTAGGGAAGGCTGAGCGAAGGAAGATAGATGCTTTTGAACTGTGGTGTTGGAGGAAAGTTCTGAGAGTGCCTTGGACTGCGAGAAGATCCAACCAGTCCATCCTCCAGGAAATAAAGCCCGCTGCTCATTGGAGGGAAGGATACTAGAGACAAAGTTGAAGTACTTTGGCCACATCATGAGGAGACAGCAAAGCCTATAGAAGACAATTATGCTGGGGAAAGTGGAAGGCAAAAGGAAGAGGGGCCGACCAAGGGCAAGATGGATGGATGGCATCCTTGAAGTGACTGGACTGACCTTGAAGGAGCTGGGGGTGGTGACGGCCGACAGGGAGCTCTGGCGTGGGCTGGTCCATGAGGTCACGAAGAGTCGAGACGACTGAACGAATGAACAACAAGTAATGCGGCGAAGAAAGCAGTGGCAGTTTTTGCTTCTTTAACGTTTTCTCAAGATGAACTAGACTCTTGTCTTTTACCTTTATGCTCAGGGAAGTGGATAGTTACTTATTAAATAAGTTATGGAACAGGACTCACATTGATCCACAGATAAGTCAGACCAGGTTTTGGGGTTTGATTATTAGGCTAAACTTTCTAGACTTACACATGAGCTTATAGGATAGTGTAAATAATTAAAATTCTTTAAAAGGGCTAAAATATATTAAACAAAATAAAATTCACCATCATCACTTGATGGTGGAATATACAGTTTTGAATGTACCTCTGTGACGCTGATAGATAAATCAAGGGTGTTTATGGTCGGTAGTTTTTCCAATTCATTAGTGAACTTCACAGCAGTCACTGTATGCTTCTGAAAGTGCACATTCACTCTAAAACAAAAAAAAAGTGAAATTAAAAATCACTTTTATGGCAGCCTCCAATCAGGGTAGTAAATGCTCTTTAAATGCTGACAAGAGAGAAGGAAGATAACTTCTTCTCTACATAAAAACTGGCTATGTGATTAGATAAACACAATGTACTGCAACATCTAAACATGAGTATGATTTGAGTGCTGGACCAAAAAAAAACTGGGGTCAGATACCCACTCCACTATGGGCAAGTCACACTTGGCTTCAGAGGAAGACAAGAGATGCACCCACACTCTAAAATTAATGTAGTTTGATACCACTTTAACTGCCATGGCTAAAAGCTATGTAATCATTGGAGTTGTAGGGTTGTTGTAGGTTTTTTCGGGCTATATGGCCATGGTGTAGAGGCATTCTCTCCTGACGTTTCGCCTGAATCTATGGCTACCTCTGAGGATGCTTGCCATAGATGCAGGCGAAACGTCAGGAGAGAATGCCTCTAGACCATGGCCATATAGCCCGAAAAAACCTACACCAACCCAGTGATTCCGGCCATGAAAGCCTTCAACAATACATTGGAGTTGTAGTTTCACAACGTCTTCCAGAGGATTGATGCCTCACCAAACTAAAACTCTCAGGATTCCATTACACTGACCCACTGTGGTTAAAGGGGTGTAAAACTGCATTAATTCCAAAGTGTAGGTGCATTCTAGACCAGGCCCCGTCTGAAGATACTGTCCCCAAAGAAAATGCAATACTGGGCCCTTCCACACAGTCATATAACCCAGAATATCAAGGCGGAAAATCCCACAATATCTGCTTTGAACTGGGATATATGGCAGTGTGGATTAGTATTCAAGTTCAAAGCAAGTATTGTGAGTTATTCCGCCTTGATATTCTGGGTTATATGGCTGTGTGGAAGGGCCCATAGGTTCAACTTGGGTTGGCATAACTCAGAAATGACTTGGGGACACAGAACCACTTATTTGACATACCAGTCCCTAATTTTTAGTATGCTTGGTCATACACACTGCTCTGTGCATATGATTTCTGCTTGTTAAATCAAAGCAAAATGGTCCCAGGAAAGGAATGGAAGCGAATGCTTCCCCATAACAGGCATACCGAGAGCCCCTCACAGCCGCAACTGATCCTCTTCCCATTTTGCTCTCAATCTCTTCTGGGGAATGTGTGTTAAGTTCCAACTGCATTCGGAGCTGCGACATCTTCAGGGCCAAATACACCGCGGGAAGAACTTTAAACGTTTGGGTTGGATTCCGAGAAAATTCTATAAAAGCCCTATATGAAAACAAGCAAAGGAAATGAAGTCAACGTTGTGTTCTGAGGATTAGAACCAAGAAAACACAGGTGAAAGCTTTTCTATTCCTACAGGCATTTAGGAACTGGCTGTGAGGGATTGGGGCCCCTTGGTGGTACAGCAGGTTAAATCGCTGAGGTGCTGAACTTGCTGACCAAAAGGTTGGCGATTCGAATCCGGGGAGCGGAGTGAACTCCTGCTGTTGGCCCAGCTTCTGTCAACCTAGCAGTTCGAAAACATGCAAATGTAAGTAGATCAATAGGTATCGCTTCTGCGGCAAGGTAACAACGCTCCATGCAGTTATGCTGGCCACATATCCTTGGAGGTGTCTATGGACAATGCTGGCTCTTTGGTTTAGAAACTGAGATGAGTACCACCACCCCTAGTTGGACACGACTAGATTGAATGTCAGGGGAAGCCTTTACCTTTAATTTACCTATGCTATTGATTAGGTACTTTTCAATGGATGTGTTTTACATGGCATTTAAATGTGTTTTGTCTTTGTCCTTTTATCTATATGTGTTTTAATATCTGTCAGAGCCAGTACGGTGAAGTGGTTTGAATGCTGGATTGTGACTCTGAAGACCAGGGTTTGAATTTCCACTCAGCCATGGACTTAGGAGAGTCACATTATCTCAGCCTCTGAGGCTGAGGCTGAGAGAGTGTCACAGGCTCAAGAACACCCAGAGGGTTTCGGTGACAGAGTAAATCTTGTCCCAAACACCCTGTGATAATTTTGCCTTTGAGTTGCCTTGACTTGGAGACATACAATGACAAGTTCTACAAGCTCTTAAGCTTGAGAGAAGGGAGCGAGCTTGTGTTCTGCTTCCCTGGAGACAGGGACGCGGAACAATGGCTTCAAACTACAGGAAAGGAGATTCCACCCAAACATAAGGAAGAACTTCCTCACTGGGAGAGCTGTTCAGCAGTGGAACTCTCTGCCCCAGAGTGTGGTGGAGGCTCCTTCTTTGGTGGCCTTTAAGCAGAGACTGAATGGCCATCTGTTGGGAGTGCTTTGGATGCAATTTTCCTGCTTCTTGGCAGGGGGCTGGACTGGATGGCCCACAAGGTCTCTTCCAACACTATGATTCTATGACAAAGAGTATTGGTGCCTCACCAGACTACAACTCCCAGAATCCCACAGCTATGGCCTGACATTATTTCCCTTTCATGTTCTCATTTGAAGGCAGAGAAAACATGGAGAGGATTTCACCAATCAGTGTAAAATAGGACAATAAAAGTTAGGGCATAAAAGGGATGAAAGGTAGCACTGGTATTCCCAGTAATCGCTTGCTAGTTGGATATTTTGATTCCCATTCAAAATATGCTGTGTGTTACAAGCTAAAATCCACTTACTTGGTCCCATCGTAGGAAATAGATTTTACTTGGCCGCACTGTCTGAACAAGGACTGCAGCTGTTCATGGTAGAGGAAACCAAATGGGGGCATGTTCTTCAACTGTTGGGGGAGAAAATATGCGCCTTCAGAAACAACAACTTCTTCTTTTTCAGTTTAAGAGAAGTGATTTGATTTGGATTGCAATCCTGTTGTTAAACCACATCATTCATGCAACACATTTCCAGACAGTTTCATAGGGAAGTGAAAGTGCCACAATTGACATCATCTTACGGGTACAACCACAGAAGAATTTCCATATGTGGCAAATAGGAGAATCTTTTTGTATGAACCAACATGGTTGGTTCAAAAAAGGAAACGTGCAACTCCGCTTTCTTCTCCTTTATCGCCTTAAACTAAGGTTAGCAGGTGCATCTACACCAGGAATGGGCAAACCTTGGCCCTCCAGATGTTTTGGACATCAACTCCCACAATTCCTAACAGGAATTGTGGGAGTTGAAGTCCAAAACTTCTGAAGGGCCAAAGTTTGTCCATGCCTGATCTACACTGTAGAATTAATGCAGCTTGACATCACTTTAACTGCCATGGCTTAATACAATGGAACAGAAGCTCTCTGAAGCTCTAGGTGCTCTTACTGCTTATTACAGGGAAAACCAGCGGATTCCTAACCCATCTAAAACACAGACATGTGCTTTTCATTTCAAGAACAGACAAGCATCCCGAGCTCTGAGGATCACCTGGGAAGGAATCCCACTGGAGCATTGCAGCGCACCCAAATACCTGGGAGTCACTCTGGACCGTGCTCTGACCTACAAGAAGCACTGCCTGAACATCAAGCAAAAAGTGGGTGCTATAAACAATATCATACGAAAGCTGACTGGCACAACCTGGGGATCACAACCAGATACAGTGAAGACATCTGCCCTTGCGCTGTGCTACTCTGCTGCTGAGTATGCATGCCCAGTGTGGAACACATCTCACCACACATCTCACCATGTTAAAACAGTGGATGTGGCTCTTAATGAGACATGCCGCATTCTCACGGGGTGTCTGTACTATACATCACTGGAGAAATTACACTGTTTAGACAGTATTGCACCACCTGACATAGTGAAAGGACCAAGGCAGAGACATCTCCAGCTCATCCCCTGTTTGGGTATCAGCCAGCACGTCAACGACTTAAATCAAGAAATAGTTTTCTAAGATCTACAGAGACACTCGCTGGAACACCTAAGCAAGCGAGAGTCCAAAAGTGGCAGGCTCAAACCCAGAACCTCAATCAATGGCTGATACCAAATGAGAGACTCCCTCCTGGGCACACAGAAAACGGGGCGACTTGGAAGGCGCTGAACAGACTGCGCTCTGGCACCACGAGATGCAGAGCCAACCTCAAGAAATGGGGCTACAAAGTGGAATCCATGAAATGCGAGAGGAGGAAACCACTGACCACCTGCTGCAATGCAACCTGAGCCCTGCCACATGCATAATGGAGGACCTCCTTGCAGCAACACCAGAGGCACTCCAGGTGGCCAGCTACTGGTCAAAGGACATTTAATTGACTACCAAGCTTGCAAACTTTGTGTTTTGTTTGTTTGTTTAAAAATGCAGTACTTGTTCCTGATACGATAAATAAATAAATACAGTGGCATCATGGATGTCCCTTATTTCACCTCATTAATTCTACCTTATACTCCCCTTCAGCCCACTGCCTTCTTAGCATGCCATCTGTCTGCAATCTTTTCTCCAACAAAACATAGTATGTGTGTCTTTTCCATCCCTGGGCCTCGTGTAATGTTTCTGCTGCCTTTGCTTTCTCTTTGTCCCAACTTCCTGCCCCATTTGCCCTTCTTTCCCTCCACCAGGCTGTTGCTCCATTCCACACATCCTTCCTGAAGCCTTCTCTATCCACTTTTTGCATTGCTTGCCAACATTTTTTGGCTGACCTAGCTCATCATCCACCAAAAGAAGTAGAGCAAGAAGTAGGAATTAAAAAAACATAGACACACAGGGAGAGAATTATAAAGTGGGTTGAAACTGTATCAAAACCACAGAAGATCTGTAATGTAGGGGATGGAAATGTAAGAGCCTTCCACACAGTCATATAATCCAAAATATCAAGGCAGATAATCCACAATATCTGCTCTGAACGGGAATATCAGAGTCCACACTGCCATATAATCCAGTTCAATGTGAATTTTATACAGCTGTGTAGAAGGGCCCTAGGATTGTTTGCAAGCTAGGAGAGCAAAGTGATGTTGGTGATGTTCGGAGCCACACTTCAACAATATATGAAGGCCCACAAATTCATTTTCACCCTCATCTAATCCAACATCTTGAAAATTTCATACACGTTCATTTAGGATTCAGAATGAAATATAAATATAATAATATAATATAATATAATATAATATAATATAATATAATATAATATAATAATATAATATAATATAATATAAATATAATGAAATATAATATAATCTATATACAGGATTAGTCAAAATGAATAGGCCAATAAGAAAATTAATTTTAGACGAATGTATGTTTATTGTAACCAAACTACAGCTACGTAGCGACAGATAAACTATCAAAGTTTTGTCTCACCTTCAGAGATGTTCGATATGGGCGCCCCGTGTGACACGGCAGATGTCCAAGCGATAGTCCAGTTCATTCCACATCCGTTGCAGCACATCCGACGTAATGGCATCGAATGCAGCAACGTCTGGGAAGGTGTTCGTTGAGGCCTAACCCTAACCCTATCCCTAACCCTAACCCTAACCCTAACCCTAACCCTAACCCTAACCCTACCCTAACCCTAACCCTAACCCTAACCCTAACCCTAACCCTAACCCCCTAACCCTAACCCTAACCCTAACCCTAACCCTAACCCTAACCCTAACCCTAACCCTAACCCTAACCCTAACCCTAACCCTAACCCTTGAAATTCTCGCTGGACCGTAATTACTGACATTGTTTTAGCAAATGTCATCACACAAAACGCCTTCTCTTTGCTTGATTCCGCCATTTTGAAAACAGCGACCCCTAGCGACGCCTAGCGGCATTAACGTACATGTGTGTTGCTCAAAAAAAACTTTGATAGTTTATCTGTCGCTACGTAGCTGTGGTTTGGTTACAGTAAACATACATTCGTCTAAAATTAATTTTCTTATTGGCCTATTCATTTTGACTAACCCTGTATTATGTTGTCAGCTGTCCTGTGGGCCTTTGCAAATTATTTTCACAAATCAATACTCTGGCCAGCCTCATTTTGGTGCCTCAAATGTTAGCCCTGTTTCCGAGTATATTTATTTATTTATTTATTTACTGTATTTATATACTGCCTTTCTCACCCCTGGGGGCACTCAAGGTGGTTTACAACATATTAATGGCAAAGATTTAATGCCAACATACAGTACACAAGGAAATCATAATAACTAATTACTATGCATAATTATGAGCATAAAATCAATTAAAACTATTAAATGTAAGACATATATAAAGTTTAAACATTCAAACAAGCATAAAATCATTCTAGTATAAACATTAAAATCCCATTTGACTGGCTGATTCCAAAAATTGCATCAGTTTTTCCTCTATCAGCTCTAGTTTTTGAGATGCAGAACAATCTACCAGTCTTCATCACCCATAGAAAACCATGATAAACATATCTAAGGGCCGGGCTTTAGCACAGCTGGTTAATCACCAGCAGCAATAGATCTTACCAACCAAAAGGTTGGCAGTTCGAAGCCCAGGTTGGGGTGAGCACCTGACCTTTAGCCCAGCTTGCTGTCCACCTAAGCAGTTTGAAAACAGTTGTGAGTTGTGAGTAGAGAAATTAGGCACCGCTTAAGCAGGGAGATATTTTACAGAACCATAAAGGAAATACCAGAAAATGCTGACGATCAAAGGAAAGAGGAAGTGTGTGATCAAGGGTCTTCGTCATAGAGGATGGCACGACAACACCATCTGTGGCCGGAATTGGGCACAACCTCCAGGACGCCGAAGTTTGGAAAAATATTGACATAATACCTCTATCTGTTGTCTGTCCTGTCTATTTAACGGCATTGAATGTTTGCTGTGTATGTGTTCTGTGATCTGCCCTGAGTCCCCTTTGGGGTGAGAAGGACAGAATATAAATGCTGTAAATAAATTTTAAAAATCTAAGAAACTAGAGCTGATGCAGTCGATCCACTGCAATTTTCGGAATCAGTTGTGCCAAATAACCCCAAGAACAGGCCTAAAAACCAAGACATCAAGATTTTTTTTGTTGTTGTTTGGATTGGCTGTGTAATATACGTAATAAGTAAGGCAAAGTAGTGAATGTAAGCAGGAAGAATCAATACAAGGATTTAATTTCCCCAAAACGAACAAAGGCTCCTGGAAAACCAGAATGGAATCAGAAAAAAGAAAAAGAAAATCAAGAGTAAATATGAAATATGTAAATATGAATATGACCAGGAAGAAAGAGAAGGGGGAAAAGAATGCTATAACAACAATCATTAGGTCATTGTGTATACAACATGGACTATTTCAGACTTAATAAACATACCACTATAGTTGTTTTAGGATTTTCGCCCAACAGCTCCCTCACAGAAATTTCCTCATCATATTCTCCAACACTGAAGTAATTCGGATAGAAAGCTCCAGCCATAACCACCTGATAAAGAAGATAAAAGGATGTAAATTTTTAAAAATTGACTTCTCTTTTAAGAACTCATTTATTCCATTGGCATGACCACTGCATGATCAGGTAATTAAGCGACCCACATTTTGGCTTCTGGTTACATTGAGGTTTCAATTTCTGACATGATTTCTCCTTCATATCACCCCCAATAGTCCCCTAGGCTCCTATTAATGTAACAAACATTGCATCTACTTAATTAGTGCCATATAATTAATACTAAAAATGCCTAGAAAAATGTATTTCTTACTTGTAAGTAAAAGTGTGTATTTTAATATAAAACCTCACAGATTTTCACTGATCAGTCTTTGATATTTCTAATGTGAGCCTCATGAGACTCAGTGTTGGAGCAGACTTGAGTGTTGGACTAGGGATTCTTGGGAATCAGGACTCAAACCCCTTACTACTACTACTACTACTACTTCTTCTTCTTCTTCATTAGCGGAAGAGATCCTACAGCTAAATGAGCTGTTTGAAGTTAAAATGCAATTGAAGACCCATCTCTTCCAGCAAGTCTACCCAATGAACTTTCAATAATGAGTTTTGATTTACATTCTATTGCTACTATATATCAATTCTGTATATATGTTTGGTAAACATTTTTTATATTTTTGTGTTTTTATCCATGTAATTTATTGTATATATTTTATGTTCGTATGTTTTTGACCCCCTGGTGACGCAGTAGGTTAAACGTCTGAGTTGCTGAACTTGCTGACCGAAAGGTTGTTGGTTCGAATCCAGGGAGCAGGGTGAGCTCCCCCTGTTAGCCCAGCTCCTGCCAACCTAGCAGTTCAAAAACATGCAAATATGAGTAGATACCGCTTCTGTGGGAAGGTAATGGCACTCCGTGCATTCATGCTGGCCACATGACCTTGGAGATGTCTACAGACAACGCCGGCTCTTCAGCTAAGAAACAGAGATGACCACAACCCTACAGAGTCGAACAATACTAGATTTGACGTCAAGGGGAAACCTTTACCCTTTTATGTTTTTGAATTTGTTGTACTATGCCTTGAGCCATCAGGAGAGGCGGTTAATAAATAAAATTTAGTACTATTAGTAATTCACACACATACACAGCCTTTATTAGTTTACAACAGCAAAATCACATGAGCGTATACAACAAGAGAAGTCACAGATAAAAAGGAAAGCATACTTTAAAAAGTTACTAATCTCAAGAATAAAATTTGCAACAATCTCACAAATAACGCATCAGAGTTGTGCAGAAGATATGTTTTATTACATCCTTGTCATTGGAAACACTGAAAAAATGGGATTCCTGTTATAGCAGGAGTAGCATCTTGCTTGAATTCTCTGAAAAAAGAAATTCAAAGCAACTCACAGTAAAACCAATACAATATAGCTTGTTTGTTTGTTTGTTTGTTTGTTTGTTTGTTTGTCTCTTCCCGGGGGGACTCAGGGCAGTTTAGACATAAAAAGGCAAACATTCAATGCCTTGAAAATCTAAAAATATGATTAGCCACAGAAGACCTTGGACAAGTCACATTCTTAGAATCCCAGCTTTATAGGAAACCAACTGCAAATTTTCTCTGAGTAATTCTTGCCAAGAACACCATAGGGTGGGATGCCATAAGCTAACATTTACCAAACAGCAACAACAACAAATTGCATCTGACACAACTAATTGTCTCACCTGCAAGATGAAGCGTTGCTTGTAGACATGCTCAGAATCCATCACAGGAGGCTGGGTATAGGCGTGCATATTGAATCTGCCAACTCTTTTTTTCAACTCTGCATACAATTCAGCCACCTAAAATAGTTAATTCAAGACTAAGACATAGTAACAAGCTACAAAAAAAAACCCTCATAAAATGAGGTATTTTTTTCTTATTTTTCCTGAATGACAACTGGGTCGTCATGAGTAGAACCGTGTGGTTCCTACTACAATCCCAGAAATCAAATAATTTTTTTTAAAAATGTTGTAACATTTGTTTTATGGCTACAATTAAAGATTTATCAGCCAGAACCCTATATTTTAGGTGCCCAAAATATGATGCTAGGGACTACATAAGAAATTGTGATTGGATGTAGAAAAAAAATATTTTATGTAAGGGATTCCTAAGAAGAGAATGTTCTTTTAGGAGTTCTTCCAGGATAAAGGGGTTAATAAAAGCTACTATCACTGGTCAACACATTTTGGTGCCTCAAATGTTAGCCCTGTTTCTGGGTATATCTGACCTGCCAATTCCAAAAATGGCACCAGTTTTTCTCCATTGGCTCTAGTTTTTGATACAGAACACAGAACATCTACTATTTGGCATGTGCTCACTCATAGAAAACCATGATAATCATATCTGTTGTAGTTCAGCCAAAGGCTGAAGATGAGGAGATTGTTCTATCAAAGGTTGTGAGGACTGATGGACTTTCCAATGTAGGGAATGAGGGGATTTTAGATCATGATTCTGCCTGGGAGAATGGATCTGTGTCTGGTGAGAGAGAAACGGCTTCAGAGCAGAGCAGGGAGGAAGATACATCAGAAGATAGGGAGAATCTTTTCCCTGGTCGCTCCTTGGCAAAGAAAGGTAAGAAGCTGGAAAGGGGAGATTGTTCCCCTGGGAACACACCTGAGGTCAGTAGGAGTTTGAGGCTTGATCTCTGAGAGGAGGGGGCCAGATTACAGAGGTCACAGAGACTCGATGAAAAATTGAAACAACAGAATGAGAAATCCTTGAAGCATCAGAGCAGATGACAAAGGCATGACTTCATGGGTCTGTGATCTTTAAATTAAAGAACTGTTTACTAAAGTGGTTAGAGCAGGGAACGTTGTGTTACCGTGTACACCTTGGTCTTGTTTCACATTCAAGTCTATGTTTAAGTTCCGTGGGAAAGTTTTTTGCTTGTCGAAGGCTTTCATGGCTGGAATCACTGGGTTGTTGTAGGTTTTTCAGACTATGTGGCCATGTTCTAGAAGCATTTTCTCCTGACGTTTTGCCTGCATCGATGGCAGGCATCCTCAGAGGTGGTGACACCTCAAACCTCTGAGGATGCCTGATATAGATGCAGGCGAAACATCAGGAGGGAATGCTTCTAGAATATGGCCATATAGTCCAAAAAACCTACAACAACCCTGTTGTGCTCATGATCGTGGATTCATGTTTTGGAAGGAGATCCTGTGTTCCTGGTTATGGATTTATGCTTATGTTTCGACTCCTGTATTTCCATGTACCTTGTCACTTTTGAATGGAACTCTGATGTATGTCTTTTAATCGCCTTTTTTTTCCCTATTGCTTTTGGGGACATTACTTTTTGTATTGCCTTTTGCTTTTTTGCCTTTTTTATATTTGCTTTCTTCAATAAACTGTTTAGTTAGTAATACTGAAGTCTTGTGTGGTGCAAAGGTGATTCCAGGCCAGAGTACAACAATATCTAAGAAACTAGAGGTGCTGAGGTCTATCCAATGGGATTACTGAATTCAAAGCCCCAAATTACCCAAAAACAGGATAAGATGGGCCACTGTATACCTTGAATTTCAATTTTAAAAGCCACAACATTGCCCCACATGAAAATGTTTACCAACTTCAGAGAACAGTTTGCCTAGGGACAGCTCTCTGACAGTTCAATGCAGCCGTTTAACCAGAAGTCTGTCTCCATGAGACTTACGAGCAGACTGTGCACTCCCAATGAAGCTCTTTGGGGGAATTTCCACTCTCTTTGTGTGTTACCCACTCGCTAATGCCATTAAGTACTTCTGCAATGTCCTTTCTGCTAAATGCTGTAGTAACCTTAGTAACACAGAGTCTCAATACAAACACACAGTATGGCCTGGTTAGTTTTTTATAGCAAGAATATGATGTTCTGGCCACATACGCAGGGCATTCTAGGAATCTCAATGGTCCAAATTACATGTGATTTATCAAAACCGAGCTTTAAAGAAGTCCAATTCAAGGAAGGGCAAGGAGGAACTCTAGTGGTCTTGGAATTGAGGTTTTCTTCCATGCTTTACAATGAATCAGACCATTTTTCAGACTCTTTTTGGAGAACATTTTAAGTCTGTTCTGTGATCTTATAGTTTCTTTGCTTCAGTAAGCAGAAAAGTCATAAACAATAAATCAATGAATTAAACACAACCATGCGTGCATGAAAGTGTTTATAATATACAGTTGGGTCCTCCATATTCATAAAGTCAACCATCTATGGCTTCACAACATTCATCACAAATGCGCTTGGTGGGGAAGAGGGACAGGGCCTTCTCGGCGGTAGCCCCCCGCCTGTAGAACTCGCTCCCCAGCGAAATTAGGTCAACTGCTTCCCTCCTTTCCTTTAGGAAAAAGCTAAAGACATGGCTATAGGACCAGGCATTCAGATAGCAGGTTGACAATAAAAATGATGACAATGTTATGGAAAACGGACTGTGGACTGGCTTCGGATTAAGTTGTTGATTATAGAACTCTGAGTATTGGTACTATTTTAAATTGTTTCTAATCTAATTTAATGTTTTACTTCTTATGTAACTGTTGTTTTTATCAGTTGCATATATGGGGCATCGAATTGTTGCCGGCTGTAAGCCGCCCTGAGTCCCCCTTCGGGGGTAGAGAAGGGCGGGGTACAAATAGTTGAAATAAATAATATATAAATCTTCCTCTCACATAAATAAATCCCACAAGCAAACCCGTTTTCGCCATTTCATATAAGGAAGACCATAGGGAAGTCTATAATAGGACTTTAGCATCCACACATTTTGTTATCCACAGGCATTTGTGGAATTAAATCCCAGCAGATACCAAGAGCCAACCACATATTAACTACAGGGGTGGGAACCTCCATTCCACAGAACTAATCTAGCTTTGCAGGGTCTTTCCCGACCAGCTCACACATATTTGCAGGCTAGCTCTTTCCCTCTCTGTGGATCCCAATGATTTGCTCTTTATCCTCTTCTCTTGAGCTTTATGTGCTATAAATTCATATGAAAACAGTGTGTATAATAGGAAAATAGAGCTAAGGGTGGGAAGAAAGAAAAGAGATATTCTTCACTTCACCTCCCGGATCCTCTTGATATGAATATAGTTGGAACGTCCCCAGTCCAGTTCATCCTGAAAGAGGAGAAAAAGTCTGTTTAGAAACAAATGTAGTTATTGTATTTTCGAAGGCTTCCATGCCTGGAAGCACTGGTATGTTGTAGTTTTTTTCGGGCTATATGGTCATGTTCTAGAAGCATTCTCTCCTGACATTTCACCTGCATCTATGGCAGGCATCCTCAGAGGTTGTGAGGATGCCTGCCATAGATGCAGGCGAAACATCAGGAGAGAATGCTTCTAGAACATGGCCATGTAGCCCGAAAAACCTACAACAGCCCAAATACAGTTATTGCAGGGTTGTTGTAAGTTTTTTCGGGCTATGTGGCTGAGCGAAGGAAGATCGATGCTTTTGAACTGTGGTGTTGGAGGAAAGTGCTGAGAGTGCCTTGGACTGCGAGAAGATCCAACCAGTCCATCCTCCAGGAAATAAAGCCCGACTGCTCACTGGAGGGAAAGATACTAGAGACAAAGTTGAAGTACTTTGGCCACATCATGAGGAGACAGGAAAGCCTAGAGAAGACAATTATGCTGGGGAAAGTGGAAGGCAAAAAGGAAGAGGGGCCGACCAAGGGCAAGATGGATGGATGGCATCCTTGAAGTGACTGGACTGACCTTGAGGGAGCTGGGGGTGGTAACGGCCGACAGGGAGCTCTGGCGTGGGCTGGTCCATGCGGTCACGAAGAGTCGGAGACGACTGAACGAATGAACAACAACAACATGCCTGTTCTAGAGGCATTCTCTCCTGATGTTTCGCCTGCATCTATGGCAAGCATCCTCAGAGGTAGTGAGGTCTGTTGGAACTAGGAAAATGGGTTTATATATCTGTGGAATGACCAGGGTGGGACAAAGGACTCTTGTCTGCTGGAGCTAGGTGTGAATGTTTCAACTGAACACTTGATTAGCATTTGATTGCCTGGCAGTGCCTGGAGCAATCTTTTGTTGAGAGGTGATTAGATGTCCCTGCTTGTTTTCCCTCTGCTGTTTTAATTTTAGAGTTTTTTAATTCTCAGGAGAGAATGCCTCTAGAACATGGCCATATTGCCTGAAAAAACCTACAACAATCCAGTGATTCCAGCCATGAAAGCCTTCGACAATACACAGTTATTGTAATTTTTCCCTTTTATCCTTTTGTCTTATACCAAATGCATATGGAATATTATAAAATGCTATGTTTCATAATTTAATATAATATAATTAGATATATATATACACACACACAAATATAAAAATCAATAGCTTAGTCAAAGGGAAAAAATGAAATAGATCTCAGCACCAAAACTTTCATTATAGTCCACCGAACATTCATTACAGTCAAACCAAATCATCACTGGAACGGACCTTGGGGTGTCGAAGCTTTCCGTTTTTCCTGCTTTCCTGCCATTCCTAAAGTTAAAAAAGGAAAACTCTTTATAGACATAAGGCGAAGGTAAACATAGCCTTAGGGCAGACATACTTCATAAACTCTGGAAGCCAGGAGAAGGGTCTTTCACCAAAATAGTACAAGACTACTACAATAAACAGTTGCCCATTATTTTCCCATTTAAAACTTGTCCGTGCTGTTCTTTATTGAGAACTTTAAAGGGTGCTTCCCAATAGCTGATAAAACAGTGAAAGATTAATAATAGTGTGCAGCACCGATGTTAAAGGATTGCACCAAAACAAATCATAGGAGAAATAAATACATCAAAGAATTAAAGGCAGAATAAATAAAAACCTCTTGACCTAGAAACTTTTAACTAGCTTTTAAGAGTTTTTAATAATTTTTCATACATGGCAGTAATTCTGGGCAGTGTTTACATCATCCTCTAATTACTGAAAGTCAAAATTAATGTTTTTCTTGGTGCAACCAATGGTTATTATTAGCAGCTGGGAAATGTGCTGCTCACTCAATCTTTCCTGGCATCCGTGCTTGTTCCAGGAAGACATTTTTGTTTCATTTTCTGGAGAAAGATGATTACCTTAAAGGCGTCAACAAGTGCGATGCAATCACTTCTGCTGTTCCCAGCAAAATGCATTTTATTCCTATGGGATTAAAAAAAATTGTTAACACTCTGATGCAAGATCACCTAACACGGGCAGCTCATAAAAACACTTTTAAAATTCATTTTCTACCAAAAAAAATGCATTCAATTTTTCACATGTTTTACACACAGGGCAGCTCACATTATAATTCAATGTATTGTGGAAGGTTGGAATCACTGGGTTCCTGTAAGTTTTCAGATCTCACAACCTCTGAGGAGGCCTGCCATAGATGCAGGTGAAACGTCAGGAGAGAATGCTTCTGGAACATAGCCATACATCCCGAAAAACTTACAGCAACCCAATTATAATTCAGTTTTAAAATACATTAGAAATACAGTGAGGTTCATATTTGCTGGGGTTCAAAGTGTCTAGCACAATTCTATGGTGGAAGTTGATGATGGAGTCACACTGGAGTATCTAGAAAGTCCTAGAGAGAATGCATTGATCAAATATATTGCTCAAATCCACACATAATCAAATGGGCAAAAATGAAACCCCCAAATATGGAAGTTCAACTACAGATAGATAATGTCAATACAAATGCTAAACGGTTTATCTCAGGCATGGGCAAACTTTGGCTCTCCAGGTGTTTTGGACCAACTCCCACAAAAATAAACAATATTTTTGAAATAAAAATGAAAATAAAATCAGCATTAATTGCCAAAATTTACCAAAATTGCACACTGCATTCACAAAGCTGATTTATCATACAGTAAAACGGTTATATTGTTACATTTGCATTTATTTGTCTTAATTTGCTTTTAATTACTGTATTTCAATATTAATAACTAGCCAATACAGACTTGATGGTATGGTATAGTATAGTATAGGGGTCCTCAAACTACGGCCCGAGGGCCGAATGCGGCCCTCCAAGGTCATTTACCCGGCCCTCGCTCAGGGTCAACTTAAGTATGAAATGACTTGAAAGCACGCAACAACAACAACAATCCTATCTCATCAGCCAAAAGCAGGCCCACACTTCCCATTTAAATACTAATAAGCTTATATTTATGAAAGTTGTTCTTCATTTTAATTATTGTATTGTTTTGAAGTGTTTTTGCACTACAAATAAGATATGTGCAGAGTGCATAGGAATTCATTCATATATTTTTTTCAAATTATAATCCGGTCCTCCACCAGTATGAGGGAATGTGACCTGGCCCTCTGTTTAAAAAGTTTGTGGACCCCTGGTATAGGGTATAGCATTAATTAGCCCTGTTTTAAACAGTATCTCTCAAGCAACCAAAAAACTACATTTATCCAGCTTCTACCACTCTTCCCTAAGAATCTCCAATATATATGTATTATATAATTATGTGTATATTGATGCTTATGTGTTTATGAAGCCCCTGAAGAGGGCCACTGAAATGAACATAGCATCAAAACTTTTTTAGCTTTTCCCAAAATAAAAACAGCCAATCTCTGGGCACTTGGAAACCTGTCTACCATTTTTTTCTGTGATCTCATGACAATACCTGTAGCTGTCAAAATGCTGTCTGAAGGGGGCTGAAAAAAAGTTGTTCAAGGAGAGGGCTGCAGCTATAAAGGAAAGAAAAAAAAGCCATGTAATACTAACAAAACAAACAAAAACCAGTTCTGTTTAGTTAGGATAGTGGGATTTGTTGCTTCACTTACCAATTATAAGGCACTCATCCAGACACCCAAAGACGTGCCCAAGAACAATAAGCTTGCCAAGATGCTGATCCACTGGTAAATCTGCCAACACTCTTCCTAGGAATGTCAGTTCACCGTCATATGGGTTTTGCTCTTCAGAATGGACATCAACAGCAAGTGCTCCAATCTACATAGCAAAATGATTGATTGATTGATTGATTGATTGACTATATTTGTATCCCGCCTTTTCTCAATCCAGAGGGACTCAAGGTGGCCTTAACAACAGGCAGCAATTTGATGCCAAACATACATGTATCAATACACAATTACAATTAAAACCGAACAATTAAAACATAAATTATTAAAACATCAATTAAAATCACATCATCCAAAATGTAATCCAGGGCCATTCCATTTATGAAGACACTAGCCGTCCCCTGCCACACATTGCTGTGGCCCAGTCTGTGTATATATGTTTTGTGTGTATGTGATTATATGTGTGTTTGCGTACATATATGTGATTTTGCGCATGCATTGTAATGTATTTTTTTTGTTCTGTTCTCTTCTGCTGTGTTTTTCGGTGTTTTTATGAGTGATGGTCACTCATTGACCTGACAGGTGCATTGTGTCCAAATTTGGTGTCAATTCGTACAGTGGTTTTAGAGTTATGTTAATCCCACAAGCGAACATTACATTTTTATTTATATAGATTAATTCATAGTCTCCACTTATTTGTCGAAAGCTTGATCCCAAAGCCATGTCTTAAGTTTTTTTTCCTGAAGGTCAGGAGAGAAGGGGCTGATCTAATTTCATTGGGGAGGGAGTTCCACAGATGAGGGGCCACCACTGAGAAGGTTGTCTCTCGTCCCCACCACTCGCAATTGTGGAAGTGGGACCGAGAGCACGACCTCCCTGGACGATCTTAACCTCTGAGATGGTTCATAGAAGGAGATACGTTGGGACAGGTAAGCTGGGCCGAAACTGTTTAGGGCTTTATAGTCTAAAACTAGTACTTTGAACTGTGCTTGATAGCAGACTGGCAGCTAGTAGAGCTGGCGTAACAGGGGGGTTGTGTGCTCCCTGTACGCCACTATGGTGAGCAATCTGACTGCTGCCCGTTAGACCAATTGAAGCTTCCGAAGAGTCTTCAAAGGCAACCCCACATAGAATGTGTTGCAGTAGTCTATTCAGGATGTAATCAGAAAGTGGACTGCCGAGGCCAAGTCTGACTTCCCAAGGCACAGGCGCAATAAAACCACCCGTGCCAATAGGAACAGATGAGCAATCAGTCACAAAGCTTACAACTAAAACGAGAGTAGCCTTCTCCAACAACACAGTAAATTGGGGCATCTTGATTTATTTTTTGGAACTTGACATACTGCCGAATCACTCTATTATTATTATTATTATTATTATTATTATTATTATTATTATTATTATATTTCTTGCATTTCTATCCCGTCCTTCTCAACTCCCAAAGGGGGACTCAGGACGGCTTACAATGGGCCCCATTCCGAAGCCATTACACAACAAATTACAAAATTTAAACCACAATTAGACATAAAAGCATAATTAACAATATATAAACCATCGTTAAAACAGTAAAAGTCTCATCAGCCATATCGTCATTCCAGTCACATTCCCTTAAAGTGCTGTTTACATCTATTGTCCAAAAGCCTGGTCTCAAAACCATGCCTTTAGTTTCTTTTGAAAAACCAGGAGGGAGGTGGCTGATCTTACCTCAGTTGGGAGTGTGTTCCATAGGCGGGGGGGGGGGGGGGGGGGGGGGGCACTGCCGAGAAGGCCCTGTCTCTCGTCCCCGCCAGGCACATTTGTGCTGTTGACAGGAGTGAGAGCAGGGCCTCCCCAGATGATCTTAGGTTTCGAGGTGGGACATAGGGGTGGATGCGTTTGGACAAGTAAGCTGGGCCAGAACCATATAGAGCTTTATGGGTCAAAATTGGGCTCGGAAGTAGACCAGCAGCCAGTGGAGCTGGCACAACAGCGGGGTGATATGCTCCCTGTATGTCACCCCAGTTAGTAGTCTGGCTGCCGACTGTTGAACTAGCTGAAGTTTCCGAACCGTCTTCAAAGGCAGCCCCACGTAGAGCGTGTTGCAGTAATCTATTCGGGATGTAACTAGACGGATATACAGATTAACTGACGGATATACAGATGTAATATATTACTGTACAACTTACTGGACAATGGCCAATTATGGGATGGATGGAGCAGAGGCATCCCTGTCTGCTAAATGGCAGTGGCTGGATCTTCTCCATAATCAGGCCCATCAATGCAGCCAATGAAAACAGATTGCTAGGGTTTGATTTCACTGGCTGCTCAGGTCAATCTAAGTGAAAAGTTTGCCTTCACTGTCACTTCTTTTGTTATCCATGGTCCTCATTGCAGGCCAGAGTATTGATACCATTCATCGATGGGTGGGTTGAGGGAGTAATAGTTCACGCAAATCATCCCAACCTAATTGCACTGAATATCACAGAAAATTACATTCTAACCCCCCTAACAGATCTTAATGCTCTGCTTATAAAATCTGTGACCTACTAAAGTCAACCTCAAGCACTTATCTACTTGATCAAGTGGAAAAAAAGGATGGAATGGGACATTATGATGATGCCCTCTAGGATCACCAGCCCATTTTTCTCCCATGTTTAATTCACTGATAACAACGTATTGTCGAAGGCTTTCATGGCTGGAATCACTGGGTAGTTGTAGGTTTTTCGGGCTATATGGCCATGTTCTAGAAGCATTCTGTCCTGATATTTTGCCTGCATCTATGGCAAGCTTCCTTCCAAGGTTGTGAAGTCTGACCTCACAACCTTTTGATTGTACAACGGGTATGATGAGCCAATGGAATGTGATGACCATCAGCAACCTTTGAGATGCTTGCCACAGATGCAGCCAAAAGATTAGGGTCAGCATAATAGAGAATGCTTCGAGAAAATGGCCATATGTGTCCACAAAAAAAGCCCTACAAGCAACTAAAGTGTGGGTCTCAAGGTTCCATTCTCCCACACCCGCATCATAGGACTGCGAACGATGCGACAAGGTCACAAGAATAACAGCATATAGTCCCCCGATAGCAAAACATACGAAGCCTCTAGAGGAAGATGAGATCAGATAATCCATAAATCTCCCCCCCCCCCCCCCAATTTTCCTCTTAAAGAAGTAGTTGAGCTGCTCAAGTGGGAATACAAAACATTTGGCTTGATACATGTCTAAATTAGTTATTTTAGATGATAGTCATATAAAAAAAAACACCCACCTCCTTAAGTCTTAGAATAGTCTGCTCAATATCACATATACTGGGAGGAGACAGAGCTGTTGCTAATAAAGCCCTGGGTTCTCCCATGTTAAGCAGCTTCACTTTTAATACAGTAGTTTCCAATGGACATCGCTGAAAGAGAAATAACAAATGATGCCTTTTATTAACATCTAGAAAAGGTTGCTTACTCTTACTCTCTAGACCAAACTAAACAAAGGAGAACAAGAACATTGCAATTATAATTTTTAGAGGTCATCTTTGCAGTCTCACATATTGGTTTGCAACCTTCTAAAACCTGCTCTGGCTTGAAACGTTTTGGGAAGTCTGGCTTCTCAAAGCTCAAGGTGTGCAACACAGTTCCCTCACTCCTGTTCAGTGGCTAATAGACAGCTACAGGATCTGCACAAAAATGCATCAGACCAAGATCAACAAGAAAATGATCCCTGTAGGAGACAGTAGATTCCATTTTCCTCAGAGAAGAAGTGAAAACAAATATTCTGAAAGTCCTGCAAGCAGGAGCGGAGAAAGTTCTACTTTCCTCCATTTTTGTCATACAAATTGCACATCCCAAGAGGCTATTTATCTATTTATTTATTTATGACATTTATATGCCGCCCTTCTCACCCCAAAGGGGACTCAGAGTGGATTACAAGATATATATACATACAATATATTATATTATTAGCATAGTACAATATCAGTATTATATATTACTATGTCTGATCACTGGGTTGTTGTAGGTTTTTCGGGCTGTATGGCCATGTTCTAGAAGCATTCTCTCCTGACATGACCTCACAACCTCTGAGGATGCCTGCCACAGATGCAGGTGAAACGTCAGGAGGGAATGCTTCTAGAACATGGCCAAACAGTCCAAAAAACCTATAACAACCCAGACTCCTTAATCTGTTGGGGAACAATAGTTCTAGGTAAGGTAAAGGGAAAGATTTCCCCTCAATATGAAGTCTAGTCGTGTCCAACTCTGGGGGGTAGTGTTTATCTCCATTTCTAAGCCAAAGAGCCAGCGTTGTCCTTAGATGCTGCCAAGGTCATGTGGCTTGCATGACTGCATGGAGCGCCGTTACCTTCCCACTGGAGCGGTACCTATTGATTTACTCACATACAAATTGCTAGGTTGGCA